TCGCGTAACATCGCGTAACATCGTGTAACATCACGTCAGCGATTTTATCCTGAATGACCTTTGACCTAGACTTATACTGAACTGGCTTACTATCAAGGCAAAAAAAAAATTGTCCATAAGTTTTTGGGAAATTATGGATTTTTCTTCCTCAACTTCAGGAAGTACTGGGTACAGTACAAAAAATGAGCAATGTTTTGTGTATGGCCGCTCAAATAACAGCTAAGGGAAGCTCAATGTCTTTTCCTGGATCAGTTTTTGCAGAAAATATCAATAGGCATCAAAATCTGGATGTGTCGTTTTGACTCATGGCTTTCATGACTGTGGACAATTTTGGGAAAAAATTGGGGGGGGGGGGAATCATAAGACCCCCCCCCCACCCCACTCCTTCAAAGAAGAGACTTGACAAGTTAATAAGGGAACACACTCCTAACTTGCGAATTTGAACCCCAAAAAATCTCTCTTTTTTCTGATGCCCATTATTAAAAAGTTGCCTGGACTATTATCAATATACAATGTACCGGTATTGATTCCTTGCATATCAATAGACCTGAGTTATAATGTTAACATAACATTGTGTTTGCATACATGTGCACTTCTTATGGGAGCTTTGTGGCTCTCGTCCCCAGCTGGCTCCCATAAGAAAGGGCACACGTAAACAAAGAGTGAAGCCAATACAATCAGGGTCTATTGTCTTGTCATACTATTCTTGTGATGCTCCATTGCAACTTATCTCTATCTCCTGTTAATGTATTCCAAGACAGGCAAAGCAATATTGAGACAGACAAACAAACCCGCAAACACACAGTTAGCAAAACCCCACCCACACTTTTAATAATAGACAGAAGTATTAGTCCACCTGGGGCCAACTTCATGGGACTGCCGAGTTCTGCTTAGGGCTCGTTTCAATTCATATCCGGGACGAATTCCGGACAAGTTGCGGACATCGCATCGGGTATGAGTTGCAGGATTCTGAACAACTTCCCCGCAATCTTTTTGCAATGAAGTTATCAGTATTGGCGAGTCAAGCAGTTGCTAATGATAATTTCCCCAGAAAATTTCCAGGACAAATGCAGAGCCTTTACTTTCAGGGAGGGTGACTACCCTGTCAGGTAGGCTAAAACAAATTGTCTATTACGTTGTGTCCGTGCAACAAGGTCGTATCTCCTAAAATGGCATGTGAGGTCATGTACTGAAACACCAGTTATCAATGTCAAAAGGTTGTATCTTGCTTAAAGTACATGTAACCTGGATTTACACACAAAGTCAATGGACCTCGTGATGCGCGAGATACGACCTTGTTGCATGGAGCATATTCGCGCCAGATACTACTTTGTTGCAGAATCGAGTTACGACCTTGTTGTGCTGACGCGACGATTTTACCAAATTTGTAGTACAGTCTGTTGACTATATACAGTAATACAGACGTACACAAAACCAACAATCGTACGGTAGCACTGCGCCACGATGTGACACTTGCTCTACAATATTTGCACATAATGTACCAAAAAATGAAATGGTTTTATTTCCCCATCAGTGCAAATACAACAAAAACAAATGACACAAAAACCAGCATTCTGTCAACTTGTACGTGAAAAGTATTGCAACAGATGGATATGATCTCGGAGATGCAACTGGCCTATGGGGAATAAAAGCATCAGAAAAAAACCCAAAAAAATGTGTCAGACATCTGAGCCGTGCTACAGTTACACATTTACTTGTACCGGTATGGTACACACATACAATGAACTTTGTGCCGTATTTCTGGACATCTCCTTCTGTTTTATTTCAGATCCAAACAAAATGTTATGATGTGAAAATGTTCAGTGTAATACCTTAAAATTAAAAAATCTGAATTAACGTTCCCCTCTGAGAAAGTCAAGGAAAAAATCCTAGACAAGTGCATCATTCAAGCAGCATGACCAAACAACTCCACTAACATACACGGGGGAGAAATGGCATTATCGTCAGCCTTGAAGCTATGTGCGATGTAGTTTCAGACGTGTCATATGCTAAAACTTATTTCCAGAGCACTACTCTGATCCAGGCCAACATGCATTTTCAGGTATTTGCATACAATCTGTGCACTGATGACTTGTTGAACAGATTAAAATTGCGCTTGCAATACAGAAGTCACAGTGCCGTTTTCATCAAATTCGTTGAAATTGAAATATATATTGCAAACAAACGATCGTCAGAAACAATCAGACTTTTGGAAATAAATTTGAAGATAGTGGGAATTCCGATTAAAATCAGAAAAGTTTCATCTCAATAAAGTCTTTACTGGCAAAAAAAAAATTGACGACCGTAACTTTTTGTTGCCTTTCCGTCATATTGTAATTGGCTCTGAAAAGCGGAGGTTTCGGGAAGGTTGGTATCTCTGAGCTTCTTGCAGACAAAGTGAATGATTCTACCCGCAACTTGTCTGGAACTCGTCGCGGATGTGAATTTAGACAGGCCCTTGGCAAGTTGGCATACATATACTTGCTGAGCATTACCATCACCTTTAACAGAGCCATGAATACTGGGCCCCAGTCAATGCTTACAATTACATGTACCTGCAAACAATTAGTTTAGCACTAATTTTTGAAGCCAAAAAACCTAATGCTCCACGGTCTACTATAAAATCTGCTGCCAACGTAACTGTAGATGTTATCTCAGTCACCGATATTGTTTTCTTAATCTGTATAAAAACATCCATATCTGCTACATGTATGTGTATGATCTACATGGTTTGTACGGGTAGAGTTTCATGACTAACTTCTGCATTAAACTCATCATGACAGTACTTATTATTATCGAAAATATTACCTTAGGGAAACATTCCCATAGATTTGTGCACAAAAAAATCCTAACTCTAATGACCCCTGATCCTAACCTAATCCTAACGTCTGCAAACTTTGTAAATTTGGGTTTTGTATCACAGGGAATCGATTTATCCTATTTGCGACGGTAACATTTTGCCTAGAAATAGGATGTGAATCATGGACTCCTTAAGGTTCCATTAGAGGAATTAAGCCACGCACTTTTCAAAGGAAGCTTTAAACATGGGTACAACTCACCAGAAATTTGTTTAAACTTTGTTGTCATGACCATTTAAATATGATAGTTCCATGTCATGAACCTGTTTTCCAAAAATCTACCATATCTATCTTTGTGGGGCAAAAACTCTAAACATGTAAGTCACCTACATGTAACCATTGTTTTTCCTAAAAATGACCAACATTACAAACCTCATGTCGTTATCAATGAAACTAGACCAGAGCCCTGTCTGAATTACTTGGCTCTGGCTGGAAATTACGTACGCGCCTATGGAAGCGGCTGCTGTAGCCACTACCCATAGACCCGAGTGTTATTATACAGCTGCAGCCAAATAATTCGGAAACAGCCCAACTTTCGTATGAGAGATACAGTCGACTGCTGTTAATACAAACAGCACTCTACCAAACATTTGGTCCCTGTGGCTCCCAAATAGACCAATCAATAGAGCCTCCCCCACCCACCACTACACATGTGGGTGACAACACATGCGCCACACTGCATGTTCCCGCCATGCGTGTCACTGGCATGTGCACACATGTCAGTCATTTGAGCATGCATGTTAGTCTGGTTCCCAGACAAAGAGATTCAAGTAGCTGCCATGGCTAAAATTAGACACAGCCAAAAATGGGCAGAATCCTGCCCGTATCTGAAAATGTCTGAAGTTTACCGAACGCATTTCGTCAACACTCTTGGATAGTGCCCAGGTATTTTGGGGTATAATATAGTTTTTATTTACCTGTCAAGGTTGTATTAAAAAAAAAGTGAAAAGAGTTCATATATTCATTGCTTTCATTTTAAAATTTTGAAATTCCAGGACGACTTTGTGCCTCAGTATGCACTTGGATTGTACGAGGGGTAAGCTTTGCCGCGTCGTGTTCTATTTCAGATCTGATGATGGTTACCTAGGGGTTTCCAAAGCTCTGCTCCGTCCCGATTTTGGCTTTGCCGGATATTTGGGTCCCTAACTTTGGATATTCCAGCTCAATATCAGTCAATGTTTTCTTACAAAAATATCAAACTGTATGATATAAAAGATAGCGGTTAATTTAAAATTAGATCGAAACATTAAAGGCTCTTATTGATAAAAACAAACCGGAAATGAAGCCAAGCTTTGAGAAAGGGCTTAAAAAATATACTTATTTTTATTTTTAGCTGTGGCGACTAGCTGACCTAATATTTTGTCAGAATAGTCAGAATCTTTTGGTCTGGGAACCAGACTACACGTATGTCAGTAGGCCTACATGTCAGACATTAATCTTGACTGTGATTGGTCACAACATTATGGGGCTGGGCTTAATGGATCAGTGTATTGAAACAATCTCTTGTGGACAACATTGAGTTTGCTATTGCAAAGTTCTACTGTACAATGTTCCAAGGAGAAACATCATCTGCAATGTGCCTCGTGGTTTAATGATTTCGTAAAAGCAAACTTTATAGTACGTGGTTCATTACAGCAACGTAAAGTGCTCAGCACGCCATCTGATTGGTACTCAAATTGTGCAAGAGGGCTCACCAAAAATTCACAACTTTTAAGTCAAGATAAACAAATCTATCATATGCCTGCAAAAGGCTAACAAAATTGAAGAAAACCTTTCGTTTTGAAGTACATCCAGAAATTGTTATAGATTGCACCATATTTCAGAGTAAATTTTGTGCTCCATCCTAAATATAGGTGCAAAATATATTTCTGTCTTCTTTTCAGAATGCATGGAAATTACAGATTGCAAAATAAATTACCGTGAACCCCATAGATTTGTATACATTTATCTTAGCATTTGTTCCAATGTGAAAAACATCAAATCCTGATGTGCATGTATGCATACGAAATGCCAAAACGGACTCAATCACAAAGAATCTTTCCACATTGTCACAACCACGCAATCAGGGATTCAGGCGATCTTAAAGAGCTACCATCTAAACATAAAATGTCAGTATTTATTTGTTATTTCTTCAATGCATACCTTCTTCGCTGCTGGAGTGACGGGGCTGTCCGTGGGGCTGGTACTTGAGCTGCACCTTACGGTTGATGCCTGAGAAGTGACCGTACATCTCTAAGACTGCCTTGAGCTGTTCCAGCTTGGATTCCCTCTCCTCAATCTCAAGTCTGCAAGAGGAGAGAGAAGCTTTAGATTAACTCTGTCAGAGTTATTCGGTGACATTCTCTCTGGCACCAATGTGTACCATAAAAGGTGCCAAAACTTCCAAGTGCAGCTACTCGTCAACGAGTCACTTCATTTTGTGACTTCAGTGAGTAGTGTCATTCCAAGGCAGTGACACAAGTGGAGTCCAGTCATTAGGTTAACAGGGTCGAGTCGAACATTCTTGCTGTCAGTGCGTCACTGACATTTTAGCGCTATCTTTTTCTTTACTTTCACAAATTGAATTTTTTTTTTTTTTTAAGGTAATATAATTTCTGGTTCAGGTAAGATAATTTTTGTTATGGTAGTACAAGGTATAAGCCTGTGGAGTGGTATACATCAGGCGCAGTTCTAGATCCTATATTTTGGGGGGGCTAGCTGGGGTGGATCCAGATATTTTTACAGGGTGATGTGCTGAAATGTAGACCCTTTTTTTCTGCGGACACTTAGGCCTCCAAAAATCAATGGCCAGAAGGCTGATAAAATCCTACAATCATGCACACTATATTACCTAATATTGTACAAATGCCCCCTTCTCAAGACTACTTTTTTTAGGGGGGAGACCGTTGGCATTAGGCGTCACCTTCTAAAATTTGCTACTGCCATTTTTTTGTTATGGTTTTTTTTTTGGGGGGGGGGGGGCTAGAGACAACATTTGGGGGGAGGGGGCCTAAAGCCCCCTCTAGCCCACTACCCCCCCCCCCCCCCCCCCCCCCCCGAACCGTGCATGGTATACATGTGCTTTTAGGTGGCGTTAAGTTGTACCTAGCTTGTTACGTTAATAGTCACCAAAATTATTTTCCACATTTGACTTTGACACATATGACTCGAGAGTTGATGGGCCTCTGACTCAAGTGGAGTATTACATTGGCTCAAGTCAAGTCCTTTGCCTGTAATGACTCAAATAGAGTTGAGTCGCTGAAAAATTGTTACTAAAGTCGAGTCACTGACAGGAGTTTTAACAACCCTGACCTGTTCCTGTGTTTTTGTCTCTTGAGTTCCTCCAGCAGATATCGGGCCACATCCAGCACCTCCTGGAGCTGCTTGGGCCTCTTCAGCTTGATCTTCCCCTTGTCGAAGCCGCCGTACTTCTCAAACAGCTTGAAAAATCTGCAACGATCGAATGCCATCAACAATCAGTGGGCAGTTTAAGGGCCCACTCATACTCAGCAGGAACAAGAACGCTAATGTGTACTTGTGCCGTCATGTCAAGTTTTGGGGCTGTGATATTTCATAAGTTGAACACACTACAACATTGAGTGAAAGGTTTTGTGATGTCATAATTTGCTTCGCATTTGTGTGAAGTATGACCCTTAACCACAACCTTCCCCAATCCTCCAAAATCCTCTTTGGAAAATGGAGGATTTTGCAGGATTGAGGCTATATGGCAAACATGTGTGGCTGATGTTAGAGGATGCACTATCAAGGTGTTGGGCCGGACCTTGTGTTGCTTATGCTCAGCCGTGCATACATTTAGGCCTAGAATATACATGAAATCCTCCGCACTGCTCCATGATGTCACTGGCTCTGCTTCAACATATTGACAGTGATTGCTGGACGGTTTTGCAGGATTGAGGTAGTTACGTCACCCCTCAAAGGACCACATTCAAGAGATAACGGATGATTTTGGAGGATTGAGGCTGTGTGCAATATTACATGGGGGCAGTTGTAGGATTTTGCAGGATTGAGGTTGCATCCCAGCAAAAATGCCCAGGGAGTTAGGGTTAATCCTCACTTTGGTTTGTCCTTTATTAAAACACTTCATTTGGGGATCTAGATTGGCTCACAGTCTATTTGCCATTTTACCACTTTACCATGGCAGCCACATTCTAATAATGTTTGTTTCATTCAAACAATAACAGATATTTTGGACTTTTTTAACTCTCTAAAATGCACAAAACAATACAAGCCTTAATTGTTTGTCTGGCCACTAATAAATCAATATTTGAAAAGTAAGTATTCCATAATTAAACATGGGAGCATTGATTTGTTGGATGGGATAATGTATCATTCAAAAGTGAATACCTTTTATACCACTAAGAAAAGCAGCAATTTAAAAACAAAACCTATTTTTGGAGTGAAACTCACAAATAGCACAGGATGAACAACTCTAATGTCCTAAGCAAGTCACAAGTAAAATAATAATAAGAATAATAATAATTATAATGTGTATTTTATAAAGCACCGTTATTGGTGCTCAAGGCGCTACATGAACATCATTATTACCCTGCTCAATTGGGCCAATAAAACATTCCAAAGACAATCTCAGCTCCCTAGGGAGAATACAGCTCGATGCTGCCATTTCGGCGTAAAGTAGCTATTAAAAATCAACCACAATAAGCATCTCTACCCTCACAGGTACCCATTTACTCCAGGGTGGAGAGAAGCAATGAGTGACAAAGTGCCTTGCCTGAGGGCATGCAAACCATCACCCCAGGCTGGACTCGAACCCGCAACAATTACCCACAGACCACAAATTCAATGGTCCAGCACCCGATTTCACAAAGCGCTGCGACGCGTCGCAACTCGAGTTACGACGTGTAACACGTCGCAACTTGCGACGTGTCGTATCATCCATTTCACGAAAGTTGCGATGTGTTAAACGCGTCATAAGTTCCTTGACAACGGCTTAAAACACGTCGCAAGTTACGACGTGTCTAGTGGTCATCGCAAAATAAGAAGAGTCCCTTTCTTAGCTAGTTTAATGCCATAAAAATTACATAAACGAGATTATAATACTGAGGCAATGTGTGTAAAGTTGTAAATAGAAAATTCATTGAATAATTATGAATCAGACTGGAATATTGCAGTTAAAATTTCAAAGTAGCTATACAGTCCATTGAGAGCTCGTTTTCCTTCAAAATTGCATCGCACGGCCGCCATTTTGTTTTACATTTTAACAAATTTTTAGCAGAGATCCGACGACTCTTTGTTGAATATCAGACGACTATTTACTGTACGCTGACTAAATACATAAAACAGTCACCGAGTTGTGCTATAAATACACCTACGAAGCATCGCACTTACGACGTGTTTTGTGAAATGGATCGCAGGACGTGTCGCAGCTGCGACGCATCGTAGGGATATGACGCGTCGCAGCACTGCGATGCATCGTAAGTTACGAAGAGTTTGATGAAATCAGGTGCAGACCACGTGGCCACTCCACTCCAAAATACACCCCCTTACATTTTGCGCTGGTAACCCATTACTGTTCTGCAAATACCTATTACAATTTCATGCTTAGGAGCTGAATGCAATCTGCCAAAGATGGTAAAGGGATACTGACTTGGGATGCTTGACCTCCATCTTCATCTTCTGCTTGGGGGTTCGGTCACCATGGCGAATGACTGCTATCACACAACGCAGCTCCATTCTACACGGTAAAAAAAAGATTTAACATCTTCCAAAAGGAATTGAAGAATGTTTATTCAATATTCCTACGTAGCATTCACAGCTGCGTAGCATTCACTGTTACTTTACATCATACATATTCATGACCGAAAGCCGAATTCTCACTGGTCCATTCACCATCATGTGCCAGATGCTATTTTTGCTGTTTACCAAGCGCACGCGCGAGTATTCACGTACAGGGTAAATATGCATGCGTAGTAGACTATGCATATGTAGTCGCACAGGTAACCCATGGGACAGTTTACTACGCATGCGCTTTACAAAGCAACCGTGGAACTGTCGCAAAGGTGAAGTACGCACGCACGAACATTGCCCTAGCTACACATAAAAAGACGGTTGCCCACGTAAATGTAAATTAGCGACTGTCCACCCTCAAACCATGTTATATTTGTATTCTACTATAGCACTTTTGTATTGCATTATGCTAGTCAACTCAGAAAAGGACAACACTGATTCTGACACAGTTTGAGCTAATTAAGTCAATATTGAGAGTAATATCGATATGTAAACCCTACAGGTCAGTTTCAGGTGAAGGGATATAAAGTGCCAAAGTAACTGTCACACAGAGAGTCACTGCACACAAAAACAGCATTGTGGAGAGTAGTGAAGTGTGACTGAATCTGCCTGCTTGCCTACTTGTTGAAAACTGGCCAAACACATATACAGGGTGACCCCAAAAAATGCAACCCTAAAACATTTGCCTTTAAACAAAAAGGGATCAGTGGATTTTTATGTTTTGGGTATCAGATTAAAGCTGAGTGTACAGGATGAAAAATGACTACTTGTACATAATTGGCGTTTTCTCAGCAACCCAATGTGCTATTTTCATGATTTTTTCAGTATTTGGAAGAAGAAGCTCTCAGCTTTAATCTGATACCCAGAACATAAACATCCACCGATGCCTTTGTTTTTTTAAAAGGCGAATGTTTTAGGGTTGCGTTTTTGGGGGTCACCCTGCATATTCCCTTGATATAGACCTGTGATGCGCGAGTAACATTACTCAACATGATTGTACTCACAGAGGGATTGGGCAAAGGATATTTGGGTGCTTAGAATTGTTTGTATGTTCCTACTCACACAGTGCCTGAGGTGGTGGGCACATAAGGGATCTCCTCCTCCATAGTAAACATCTGCCAGGGAATGTTGTACTTGGGAGCCAGCTCTCTCATCACCAAATTACTGAGCAAACAAAACAAATAATAAAATGGAAACAAAATTAGGAAAATTTCATCTAAATCAACAAAATTAGAGGAGCCTAACATTTCGGTATCTTTGTCAAAGGCAAAATGACAGTGGTACAGAAACAAACAAGTAGGAGACATACAAAATTTCCTCTTATTAGGCCACCAAAAAAGTCTCCGGTTTCTGGTATGGAGCTTGCCCCAAAAGTGGTGCGGCAACGCTGGGTTTTTCCCCTACTTTTTTTTCTTCAAATGTCGGCTGATGTTGCAGATGATGCTTCGATCCCCTTTAAACTCTCAAAAATATCCTTCAGTGTGGAGCTTGAGGTGACCTCAGTAAGGCCATAACAGGCTTAGGAATTCTGCACCCACTTATTACAATCTTGACCGACAAAAACATTCTTCGGGAAATTTGGATAGTCAAGAGAAAAATCAGAGAAAACGGTAACATCAGACCATACAGCGACATCGACATCGTGCATGTGTTGCAGCTATTGCAGATGACGCTTCGATCCCCTTTAAACTCTCAAAAATATCCTTCAGTGTGGAGTTTGAGGTGAACTCAGTAAGGCCATAATAAGCTTGAGATTCTGCATCAACTACTTACGATCTCGACTGACACGAACATTCTTTGGGAAATTTGGACAGTCAAAAGAAAAATCAGAGAAAACGGTAACGTCATCGTGCATATGCTGCCAGGCTGGTCATTAGTCTGCTTCCTTACATATTGCTCTAATTAAAAAGCGTTTACAGGTTCCAGATACACGACCGCCGCTCCCTCAGTCTGGCTCCAGACGTACAATTAACAAATTACAACACCATCTGCAAATGGTGCCTGACTAAATTTAGTGCAAAATATATGGGAGTTTTGAGAGGCCACATAAAGCTTATACTCGATTGTAACCCCATCTAAAAGCACGTTAAAATTGTGCAGCAGCAGGATTCCAATCAAACCAGTGGGTTTGGCGGTTTTGAGACATCATCTTACGTTGAAAAAAACCTTTTTGATTTTGCCGACACGCATAGCTATAGCGATGCGCGCACAGACCAGAAACCGGAGACTCTTTTTTTTTGGCCTTAAAGGAAAACCCTTAAAGTTACTCTCCGCTCTATGTTCTTATGTTCTCCGCTCTATGCCGACCCTACAAGCACAAAATCCTTAGTTACGGGGTGTCCATGTGCACATACCAATAAGCCAAATTTCTTCACTAACCTGTGAAATATGCCAGCCACAAGCAAGAAATTGTTTAGCTATAGTAACATAGCTGCCAACAATCCGCACGGTCATTTTCAACTGCTCGTATATTAACTGTGTATGTACCAGCTTTACCAACATCGAGTACAGGTACATTGTTTACATACACATACATGTGCATACCCTTCTTGTTGTGATTGATAATGTACTGTAGGCCAAAGGATAATTTATTTTTTTAAATTAAAAAAAAAAATAATAATAATTTTTTTTAATTAATTTTGTTTTACTGTCTGTATTTGTTTGTTGAAGTCAAATAAATAATTACAATAATAACATGTGCGCATATATTTTGAGATGCATGCTATCGATGTTGAGTTTCGAGTTACACACAATGATCGATGCAATAGAAATATCCCGCCAACATACCTTGCAAACGCATGCTGATTTATCTTTTCTGGACATTGTGATAAACTCAACCTCTATTACCAATTATTCCAACCATACTCTTATTAAATTCCATGATTAAAATCTCGCACTGATGGGTCTCATCCCGGCAATAAGCGACCAATTGTGCTCTCGATCGTCACTGAAAAGTAGTCAGAGTACACACAACCACACATCCACGAGGTGCACATGCACAAATGACACACCATTGAAAAATATTTTTAGTCTGGTCCTCAAGTACTCCACTGCGCACATCGCATTGATGTCTATCAGGTGCTTGACCGCATTGCTTATTAGACTTGTCACCAGTCCATCCATTATCGTAACATTTTGCCAGAAGTTTTGGGCAAAAACGATACTTTAGGCCAAAAAAAAAAAGTCTCCGGTTTCTGGTATGCGCGCGCGTCGCCGTAGCCATGCGCGTCGGCAAAATGAAAAAGTTTTTTTTTCAATGAAAGATGATGTCTCAAAACCACCAAACTCACTGGTTTGACTGGAATCCTGCTGCTGCACAATTTTAACGTGTTTTTAGATTAGGTTATGGTCGAGAATAAGCTTTATGTGGCCTCTCTGGACTCCCATATATTTGCACTAAGTTTAGTCGGGCACCATTTGCAGTCATCAGCCGACATTTGAAGCAAAAAAATCAGGTAAGAAAAAAAAAAAGCCACGTCGCCGCACCACTTTTTGGGCAAGCTCCATACCAGAAACCGGAGACTTTTTTTTTTGGCCTTACAAGTATTTTTTTTTTCGTTAGGTAGAAAATGGGAAATTCGTAATTTTTTAGTGGCAATTCCTATTTTCGCAATTTAACAAACAATTCGTAATAATTACGAAAAATTCGCAATAGTTGGCAGCTATGTAGTAAGCGAGTATTATTCTCTAAAGATAAAAGAAGAACCATGAAATTGGGCCCTGGGCTTGAATCCTACCTGAGCTGACATGTTCACTGGGTTTTAAGTTCCAATTTCCCTGAAGTATTTTCCTGAACATTTCTTCATTGTTTTCTTAGTAAAAAGCTACAATTGCTTGGACACAGTTGGAGGAATCCCCGAGTTTCATGATCAGGATGACTTTTAATAACTAGTGTCCTTACCCCAGTATTTTGGCGCAGTCATCGTAGTACTTCTTGGAATTCTTGACAAAGCTGAAACCGTTGACATCGCACACGTATGATTTCCCATTGGCCCTCAGCAAATCAAAACCGCACACCGATTGCTGTAAATGGAAAGACAACTACAGCGTTACACAATGCTACATGTACATTGATCCAGCTTGCTCAAAGTGCTGTGACAGAATGACCCACACAGTACATGCAGTACATGTGCATGCATTGTTTCACTGTTGCATATCATTAGTGCTTCAATCTATCTGCTGATTGGTCAAAACTCTTGGCTGTGATTGGTCCAATCTATGAATAATTAGTGCTAGGATCCTGCTCAGGATCCCAACTTTTGCAAAACCCCAAGTTTTTAAGTGTTTTAATTGCCACAGAGGGGGGCTAATTGAATGTAAAAACAGAGCAAATATGCCAACAATTATGAAAGCTGTTGGAGACAGCAAAAATTGTTACACAGGACAGTGTAACTTGTAAAATAAACTAACTTTTAACCATAAGAAATAGCAGACCTGTGTTTGCCAAGTATAAAGGATTTTGTCAAAATACATGCATTGTGACAAAATCTCATTATCCATTTGACATACTACAAGCAGAACATTGTAAATGTGTAAGTATGAATTTGTAAAACTTTTTCATACAAGGACCATCATACCCTATGCGGACTAACATGCATTTTGACACTAATTGTGCATCTTTACCACACTGACCGCTTTCTTTGAATTGAAAGGGGGGCTACAGGCTTCAAACAGGGATCTTGTTAGCCCCCTCCCCTCCCCTTAGTTATCTTAACTCCCCTATGATTCCTTAGTTATCTGACATACCTTGAATGCCAAGCAGACCTTGCGGGCAATCAGTTTCTCATGGTTACTCAGGATGACTGGGTACCTGACTTCTTTGCCCTCACTGTCCCTCTCCACCTTACCGTCCAAGGCAGGCGACTTCCTAGCTTCTGCATGGGCATAGTCTGGTCCTACCGTGTACACCTTGTGTAAGAATGGATCAATGGTCATTCGGCTCTTTTCACGCTTCCACTATAGGCATGCACAGCCTCGATCCGGCAAGTTAACACAATGAAAAATAGCCGGTTCGGTGATTCCCCGTATCGGGGTTCAGATCACAAAACCGGCCATTTTCATTGTGTAAACTGGCCAGATCGAGGCTCTGCATGCCTATGGCGGAGCGTGAAAAGAGCGAATCGCATTTAAAACTGAAACATGTTTTGCTCAAATATCCATTCCTGTAAACTCTATGAGAATAACAAAGATACTTTTTGAGAGTACATTATTCAACAACTATTCCTGACAACTGAGGGTGCTGTTGCTGTGATGTTACTTAGGACACACACTCTACAGATCAGATGTTTTCTGTACAAATTGTGAATACAAAATAATAGCTCCACAAGGCTTTGCCTTGCTGCCTGTCACACGCTAGGTGTTGCCTGCTTCACGAGCGAGTCCCAGCTTCGACGATCAACCATAGTTAACACACACATACAATCTTTGCGATTTACAATGTATAGCATAGCGGTGATGAAATTAATTTCTGCAAAATGGTTACTTGATACTGTCGTCTACTGAATCCACAATTAAACATCAACAATTGACCCCAAAATGTTGGCAACCTTTGATGCTGTGGTAGCTTTAACCCTGAAGTTTCTACCTAAAAATGAAGTCAATATTTTGCTAGTGTATATGGAAATTTCACATCAGCTTAAGACCCCAAAAAAACTGTACAACTGGCAATACGGCCATTGACAACAAAGTGAAATCGGACACAAGAATGAATCGCAAGGATGGCTTTCAAAATTCTATTGTATGGGCCTTATAAACAGATCAAGATATAAAAGAACAATTTGAACAAAGAAATGGACTGGAGCGGGGTTTGAACCTGCGACCTCCAGATTGCCACTCTGGTGCTCTACCAACTGAGCTATCCAGCCCCATGTTGGCAGCTCCCCATTTTGTCAAGACATAAAGGACTATGTTTATGGACACTGTGTAGGGTTGTATGAAATACTCATGAGAAAAAAAGACAGCTTGAAATTCTGAATTTTACCTTGACATCTGTCCCATCCGTGGGCATGAACTCCTCATAGATGTAAGAGCCTTTCTCACGGAGGGTGTTGACAGATGAGTAAACGCTACTGCGACTTCCAATCTTTATACAAGACAAAAAGTGACAACATTGATTGTAAGAAAATTGATTGCCCAGAAAATACAGAAAAGCACACCTCAAATTAACCCAATAGGATCAAACATCTTGTGTCCCTGAGCAAGGAGCCTTGCCTCAATTCAGTAAATGTGGATCAAAGTTCAGGAAAAGGACATTCATGTGAGACCTCTTATCACAGAAATGTGCTAAGCGTCGAAAAGATTTGCTTAGTAGATACAGGTTACCAACCAACATGTCATGCGTTTTGTATTGCCCGTGACTGGTTCCCATCTCATATTCACTTAGCAAAAAGGTAAAAATTGGGACCTGACCTTTCGGAACAATCTTTGGCTCCCTCCCCCGGCTGAGGAGGGATAGTAGATGTAGATGTTGTGGTCCTCCGCTGACACTGGCTTCTCCACGAAGGGTTTTTGGAAGACCTGGCCACAGACCTCGATCTGGTCGTCGGTTTCGTTGATCACGTTTTCTGCAGAGTTTAGAATTATTCTCAACTTTAGAAAGATCCTAAACCAGGGAGCCATTTTAGACTGAAGCTCAGCTCCAGGATTTTTTTCAAAAGGGGTAGCTGGGGTGTTGAGATCTCAGATTTTTAAAGGGGTGGGTGGCGGATGAGGCATTGCAGTCAACGCATTCAACGCATCCAATTCTCAAAATGATATTTAAACTTCAGTTAAGTTATAAATGAAAATGAAATTCAGAAGGTTTTTTATTTGTATATTTCAGGTCAACCCAGTCAGTCAGCAGTTTGCAACAGCTTTTTAGTTGTTTTCATTTACGTTTTGATATAAAAATTTACCAGGACTGTCGTTATCACTGTCAAAGACGGTAAAGCGAGGTACGGCAATGCCCTGCTCATACAAAATCTTGTACACCTTCCTCCTGTGGAATATATAACAAAATTGACATACATCAAAAATATGACATCAATATAGGATTAAAAATTTCAAAATTAACATGGAGATGTATTTACACACCAAAGTGTCACTAGTTCTCCAGACCCATCCTGCATGCAAGACATAATGTGCCTCCAAATAAAATCATGAATTCCAAAAAAAGTGCAAGTTAAACTTTATAATAATAGTAATACCGGAGTCTTATATAGCGCACATATCTACCAACAATTAGGTACTCAAGGCGCTGGAGATTATGTCTATTATTAAAGAAAGGTAAATAAAGTTTATGAGAAATATGAGACCCGTCATGTAGCACCTTATAATGGTTTACAAGGTGCTGCGGTGCATATTGCAGCCACTGCCAGAAACACCGGGGCAAACCCCTTCTCTTAGCGTTAAGTGTTTCTGGGTTCTTTAACGTGCATTACACAGCACACAGGACCTACAGCTTTACGTCCAATCCGAAGGACGAAGCAATAATGGTAAAGTGCCTTGCTCAAGAGCACAAGCACCATGTTCCCACGGTCAGGATTTGAACCCATGTACCATGGCACACGAGTCGAACACCGTAACCATTGGACCACAGCACCCCACAAACTTGCGCGATCCCCCTGGCATGCTGGCAGTATTTATACAGTCAGTTAGTAAGCACACTTTTCAGTGTACTTAACCAAAATCAACAATGACCTCATTAGACCCCTAGATGACCTTTGACCTCAAATGTCTCAAGTCATCTGACCGAAAGACGTCATCTTATTGGTCAGTACGCACTGTTTGATTGACAGGCCGGGTCGGTCCATTGACCCCTAGATGACCTTCGACCTCAAATGTCTCAAGCCATCTGAAGTCTCCCTACCCAAAGATTAAAGTCACCAAGTTTGGCTGAGAGTGAAGTCTGACTTTTCATATGACGGCACTAATTAGTTAACCTGACCAAAATGGAACACACGGACACACATACACACAGAAGGAATATACTCAGAAAATCATCGCAAGATCCCCTCTAATTGGCTTAAAAGCCAGGGGGATAATTAAAAGCCAGGGTGATAAAAACCAATGTAAAACTGGAGATTTGAGGATTTTTTTGCATAGCAATCCTATTTTAACAGGGCAACAGATTTAGTCTTCCAAATCTGTACCTATGTAGCAGTTTGTACAGAGACTAGAATGTTTTTGTATGGGGTAGGAAGAAAGGGGGAGGGGGTGCTGAGGTGGCTTGCCAAATCAATGGCCACAGTAATCCTTTGGCAATTGCAAGTCTTCCTGACCTATCCAGCCGGTTGTACTGTGCTTCTAGGCCACTGATGACCAGTGGCTTGCACAGGTAAACCTAACCCTTGTCACACTTGGGTAGTTTGGAAATAATCAAATTTTCCAAAACATTTTCCATGGTAATCCTTCAGGCATCCCAACGTCTTCCTGACCTATCCAGCAGGTTGTACTGTGCCTCCAGGTCGTTGATGACCAGCGGCTTGCGCAGCTTGGCGTACTCGATGGCCTTCTCCAACGGGAAGCCCTGGGAGAAGAAGGAGACCAGACAATCACAGATGGGCCACTGCTCCACGGGATCGTTCAGGATGACCTCCTCCTGGAAGATGATGATGTCGATGTGCTCAAACATCTCCAAGCGGCTCAGGATCTCCCGCATAGGCTTGGAGCGGGACTTCTTGGCCATGGCGCAGATGCCCACCGAGCCTTTGATCGTGACCTCGCCGCTGTCCCAGCCCGGGATGTTCATGGTGGAATCTGGTAGACCCTCCTAATCAACAACAAAATAATCAATTGAAAGGAACAAATTACTAGGGTTTGCATCACTCAGCATGTATATCAGCACTCTAGTGGTGAAAAAGTTAATTTTACAATAACTGGGAGGGTGGACTCAGCACCATCTCTTTGGTCCAATATCTTGTTAAACCTTTCATAGTGCATACCAGTAGGCATCAGTTCGCACTCTCTAACCTACAGACTCCATGCAGAAGTATTCTCTCCACGGTTACAAACCAAGGGTTGGGAGGGACATTTGAACACATGTGTGACAGAACCAGTGGCGCACCCATGATTTGGCTGAGGGAGGGGGGGGCTCACACATTTTTTGTCAAATTTTTTTTGGAAATTTGTTCAAAAAATATTGCCCAAAATTTTTGGCCGCAGAACTTTTGGGGGGCGGGAACGGACTAGTTTGACATTGGTTGCGAAATTTTTGTCTGGTACCGGGGTACAGCACCTATTATTATACTACTCAAAAATAGGCCACATACATCACCACAGTCGAATTGGGACTAAAAAAAATTGACAACCTCTAAGGAGGGCTCAAGACCCCCCCCCCCCCCCCCTGGTTGGGTGCACTACTTGACGGAACTTGACGCTCTCACACAAATGGCCCACGTGGGCCCAAACCAGTACACGCACACAGTGTGGCCCCCCTTCTGGGGCTTTAGAAATCGGTTACAAAGCGCCATGTACTGTCCATGCACATGGTCCATAGCTTCACTTGCCGCATGAATTGAGCCTAGGGTGCATGCAGGTCACAAGTTAATTCACACTCAACAAAGTCTACCAACAATTTCTTTATTTTTTCAACTTTTAATAGCAAGAGATTACACACTGTAACTGCTTCAGTGACCATTTTTATTGGCTAAATGAAACTATTAAAATGGAAGAATGTCAGTAAATGCGGGGCATTTCTTGGTCCAGACGTGGTTGCAAGCAATGAGTCCATGTCTGATTGATTGTTGCTGTAAGCGCTGGTGGATAGGGGGTTGGGTGGGTGGGGGGCCAACGGGAGCACTTCAATTAGTGTCTTCGCCATGTGATTTACAGCCAATATACATGTATAACAATCAAGATTTTTGCTTCAAATGTCATTTTCAAAACCTGTATTGAAAAGGGGGTGGGTAGCTTTTCAAGCAAAATTATGAGACTCGCAAAGCTGTGATGAATTTTTTCTAACGTTTTTGCAGATGTCCAAGATGAGTTTTAGATGGTCAGCGCTTTACTGCAAATGTGAAGAAAAGATCAAACAGAGCATGCTCACAAGCTCTCCTTCTTGGAGACCCGAGGCTTTGTGCCCACTCTGCCCAAGGAAGGAATCGACACTGGAGCCAGATATGGACCAGCGCTTACTGGCCGGCACTCTAGGACGTTTCCCCTCATACATGGAGCCAGGGGAGCCAGGGAACTGGCAGGAAGTTCTACGATGAGACGGATTCATGTCTTTTGTTCAGTATCCCCTGCAACTTACTTCAATCAAGACTTCTTTTTTTACATCTTTGCAGAGGCCTGCACAGCTGAAACGTTTTGGGTATGGCACGTTACAAGAAATTAACTTTTAAAATTGCATTTATCAATTGTTTGCATTACCAAAGATGTGAAATCTCCACTCAGACAGTGGAAAGAAGAAAAAGGGAAAAATCTGTCCACTTCCACACTTTATAATCAATTTTAGATCAGTTTTTTAAATTACATGTTGGAGTGGAACACTCTTAGACTTGTCTTAACCCTAACCACTTCAACTCCATCAAAATCCATCCCCCCCCCCCCCCTTCCCTTTTGGTGGATTTTGGGGGACTTGGTCCAGAAGGCCTGACGTGACGTAATATTGATGGAATATGATGGACTTGGGCCTAATGGCATGAAGCAGTGTCTGGGGTATCTGATAGATGTTGCCAAGCTTGCTGTACTACATAGCAAGTCCATGAATGTCAACCAGTGCATCGGTGGTGGATTCCATTATGTCTTGTACATCAGTTTTGTATTGGAAGCACAGTGATTGATGGATTTTGATGGACTTGGTCCACTTCCTCGTAAAAGACGCTAGGGAGTTAGGGTTAAGTCAGACAGAAGTCTATATCCACAACACACACTTGCATCACAACCAAGCCCTGAATTCCGTCATCAACATCGTGTCCGAGGTGCAACAAGTACCATATTCACACGTGTACCACTTCAGTGTGTGTACATGTACATGTAGGCTGCACCAGAACCAAGCAGAACTGATTCCAAACTCCTTTCATTTTCCCAAAGATGGTGGATGGTTTCTTCCATTTTCTTGATTCTTTTCTCGACTGGTTTTTACGAGATCAACATCATTAGCAATGCGATTGTATTGACACACCAGTACATATAAATTAATATGTTATTTCACTCCAAACTGATCAACATCAAAAGTTATATTAAGTGCAAAATCAAATTTGTATTAAAGGGACACTAGGTCCTGGAACAGCCCAATTTGGCTACAAAACATGCTTTGAACGAAATGATTTTAATCGGAAATAACATTTAAAAGTAGCATATAAACATCCACACAACTATCCTTTCAAAACTGGACGTTTTTGTGTCATTCCTGTATTATGCGTGCGAGATCGAATTTCGGGGTCCACTTTTGCGACCCCATAAATTCGAGCTGTTGTGGATGCTAGTTGTGATTCCATTCGTGAAGTGTTCGTCTTTTGCAGACGTTGAAGAAACCACTATTTTTGCATTGGTGATTGGTCACCGCTGTTCCCGAGACACACAACGTAAAAATGTATTCGTGCTCCGTCGTGTCCGATGTAAACAAGCGGGGTTTTTTTTTTTTTCTCGGGAACGGTAAGACATTAGGTTGGTTTCCTTTTAACCAGATGTTTGAAATAGGCTAAGTAAACAATCAAAAACATGACATTTTTGAGGATTTCAGGACCTTGTGCCCCTTTAAATCTCATGGAAAACAAAAGTTTGCACTGCAACCTGCACAACCAAAACGTGTCTTTGTTGAGCACAAAGTGAAGAATTCTGCAAACGGGTACTTACTAGCGACCCAGTTACTGGGCCAAGGCACAGTTTCATAATGCATTCAACATCTTTATACATCAAACATGTATGTGACAGCAACTAGTGGTTAGTGCACTACAAAGCAATCTCCTGCAGGGACCGGTAGCCCCCATAAATGTGGTCAAGAGCGCACGCATGTGGACGCACTTCATACCGATGAGTAGTGAATGACAGGCAACAGCCGCCGATGCACTTTGGCAAAGTTGACGCACACTGAGTGGAAAGCCCGAGTATCATGACCCATGACCTCAAGCAGATGGATTATGGACGCCATTGTGCTTGTTTCTGCACAAAAGCCGTCCAAATTTTTTCCAAAGGTACAAAATAACTAGACGCCTGAAGGTACAGAATTCAAGTTTTTTTGCTAATTAGCAGTTAAGTACCGGTAGGGCTGTCCCGAATACAATACTCGGATATTTGATTACATACATGTACCAGTACATCAATCCAATATCCGAGTAGATTTTTGCCGGTTCGAATATATTCAAAAACAAATAAAAACTATGCACATCACTGTGATGTTATTTTACTGTAAAAATATGGCGCTTTACTGTCAGGTTCCATTTTGTTTGTCAACAGTAACTTTGTTGTCAATGGTGGTTCATTATTCCTTTAAAGCCCTTTTACAGTTAATACTGCAAAAACACTCCATCGCCCCATATGGATCATCGCATGCCATATTCGAATTCTCGAATATTCAGTCAAATGTAGTTTCGAGTAATCAAATACTAAATAATTCGGACAGCCCTACAGTTAAGTGCTAACATGTACCTGGGTGATATTATCAAGTGACAAAATAGTCCCAATTTCAATTTCTGCTACCCTTAGCAACCAACTTTCCCTCACAATTGGTGTGCACATCACTGTGTGGCTCACTATGGGCTCCGTGCGCTAACAAAGAGGGCGCCCTTTTACCTACCAACAACGTCCCATGGGTGGGACACATACATTTCGCTGGTTGACGTGCGCACCATTCCTTGTGTGTGATGCACGTACACCAGGGGATTTCTACTATGTACACGCAGTGGCCGCGCTTCACAGCAAAATATTGCAGGCAGGCAAGATATATGGTGTCGTTCGGTCACCCCCAAGTGTGCTTTCTTTGCCGGTGAGGGGGTACTTGTGAACGGAGCGGACACTTTAGGAAGTCCAGTATTTGAGCCACATTTATGGGGCTACCCTGCAGGTAAATATGTACCAGTTGTAGACTGCATGATAATGCTAAAACCAGAAAGTTATTTCTAGTGAGGCAACTGCCTTGTAATCCTTGGGTGCATGCAATGCATTCCATACCTCCAGCTTTCCAGCAATTGTCTCAACTTTATTTGGCAAAGGTCTACAACAAACAACACGAAAAGTTAGGATTTGAATACTGAGAAGTGAGAAGCTGCTATGGTTGACGTAGAAAATACAGCTTGCCCCATAAATAGGGCAAGATAAGACTGACGCTGTCTGCTGGGCCCAACAGCCACCTACATGGGGAAACATTACTGGGAAAAGTTCCATACTCGGACGTCAATTTATCTGCTGCCAAACATATTAATTGTCACCTCACCTTGTCATTTGAACCAAGAGAAATCCAGGAAGCTGTGTTAAGGTGAAAAAAATTTACTCAAAATGTGTTTTTAGAGCACATTTTGGATGCATACGTCCTGCAGAACTAACTTGAAGCAGCCGGTCAAAACTGATTGTAGTGGCTGAAAGACAGCGGTACGTTATACACGTGACATCAACAACCATGACGTCGCATGAGCCTGCCAATGATAGTGCAATACGTCATTATGAATATTTATTTTCTCATGAATATTTAGTTTATTTCAATGGATACTTCAAATACGTCCAAAGATTGATTATTGCAACAGCGATCATGCGCGGCCTAGCGGTTAAGAGTCTCGTGTATCAAGCAAGCGTCAGAGGTTCGAATCCCGATGAAGTAACTGACTGATTAATAAATAGAAATTAAGGAAAGGAGAGGGTGAGAGTAGAGGAGGGAAAGTGGAGGAATAACCATAAAAGATGTAACTTTTGGTGCTAGAAAATTAATTGAAAAAAGTGACGTCCGAGTACGGAATTTTTTCCACATTACTTCTAGAAATAGAAGGCATCTGTGTGCCTTCTAGCACTATCACTTTATGGGAGGTCTGCATGAGCTTTGTAAGCAACGTTGATATCAGAATTTTCAATAATTGATATATCGGAAATCCAATAATAATATCGAGAATATGTGATATATCGATTACCCCATGTAAAAGTTAAAGTCCATAAAGCAGGCATGCAACTGGGAATTTGAAGAAAAAAAACAAGGAAACTCCAAATCACAATCAACATGATCAAGTATTTTTCAATTTGGAATGGCATTCATGAGAACTAAAAAACGAGGAAATCAGCGGATCTGAGGAAAAGTTGCATGCCTGATAATGCTGATAGTTTGATTTAAAAAAACAAAAACAATCTTAAGTCCCAAATTTCCACGGCTTTCTCTGGAGCATAGTGCAAAACTTTTTCAAACAAATCTCAGCACTGACAGTTTGTCCAGAACGGGCGGTTTCTTTTGAGGTTTTTACATTGGGGAGACCGCTAATTCCATCGAACGCAGAGCACAAAGCGACGCCGCTTGGCATTTCGCAATGTTTTTATTTTGAGTCACAAGCACAAGTTGCCGCCAAGTTTTTTTTACGACCACAAATTTTGTGCTACCGGTAACAGCGCTAGCAGAAAAATTCTGTACTAACCTGTAAGTGCAGAATCCTTAGTTATGGCATGGAGGAATAAGAACACATTCCTCCATGGTTATGGGGTGCACGCAATGCACATAAGCAAAATTGGGAAAAGTTCCATACTCGGATGTCAATTTATCTGCTGCCAAACATATTTATTGTCACCTCACCTTGTCATTTGAACCAAAAGAAATCCAGGAAGCTGTGTAAAGGTGAAAAAAATGTACTCAAAATGTGTTTTTAGAGCACATTTTGGATGCATACGTCGTGCAGAACTAACTTGAAGCAGCCGGTCAAAACTGATTGTAGTGGCTGAAAAGACAGCGGTACGTTATACACGTGACATCAACAACCATGACGTCGCATGAGCCTGCCAATGATAGTTCAATACGTCTTATGAATATTTATTTTCTCATGAATATTTAGTTTATTTCAATGGATACTTCAAATACGTCCAAAGATTGATGATTTCAACAGCGATCGTGCGCGGCCTAGCGGTTAAGAGTCTCGTGTATCAAGCAAGCGTCAGAGGTTCGAATCCCGATGAAGTAACTGACTGATTAATATTAATAAATAGAAATTAAGGAAAGGAGAGGGTGAGAGTAGAGGAGGGAAAGTGGAGGAATAACCATAAAAGATGTAACTTTTGGCGCTAGAAAATTAATTGAAAAAAGTGACGTCCGAGTATGGAATTTTTTCCGCAAAATTTTCTTGCTAACGCGTGAAATACGCTTACCGTAAGCACAGAATTTTCTGCTAAAATGAGCAGGGATTTTTCGGTAATCCTTACTTTTAGGACCCCGTTCCTATATAGGAAGGGAAAGACTCACCAAAACAGTTGACTAAATGACACTCAAAATTGACATTCTGATACTTCTTGGCACATCTGAACAATTGGCAATGACACCTTCTGTACTTCTAAAGACTGCTTTAGCCTGCAAAAGTCACTTTGGAACTGGACAGACATCTGCAAAAGTCAGTTTTGAACAGAACTCGTAAAAAATAGAGGTGTCCTAAAAGTAAGGATTACCGATTTTTCGGTAACGGTAAGCAGAGCCAAGAAATTGGGCCCTACCAGTACCAATTTCAACTCCGACAATCAGGACTGAGATCCCACATAAAATGCTTCATTATCAAAGTCCCAACATCATACATACCTTCTACTCCTGGAACAATAGTGTAAAAGTTGAATATATGGAGCTAATTCAGGAATTCATTTCACTTCCATGGTGTTTGAAGAAAGAAACGGACGTGCGATTTTGCACAATATCCAACGTCAGTGCATGCAGTACGTACGTGATTCTTAAAAGGCGCCCTCTCTCGACAAACTTTTCTTCTTGTCTCATCAATGAGACACGCACGGTAGGCCGGTAGGCGCAAGGATGCTCCTTCAAGTTCCAATTTAAAGATGGCAATGCACCCAACCACTGACATTGGTCAAAACTTCTCCTTTTTTTTTTTTTACAATAAGTGAACATTTTATTTTATGGAAATGTGTTTTCCCTTAGTGTGGACATCTTCATCTTCACCTAATAGTATAAACCACATTAATTTAAGTAGCTCATGTGAAAATCTGAAAGTATTATTTCTGTGAGACCACATATGGAAAAGTAGTCTCTTTTGCTTACACCGATATGGACGTGTTTCCGTGTTACACACAAAACGGGTTAGCCGCAGTCGCTCCGAATCCGGTCCAGCTGTGAAAAAATGGTTTTAGTCGCCAAACGAAAAAAACCGGGGTCGCCCAGCATTCCAATCTCTATATATTTTCCTACGAAATTCCAAAATTTCACTCGAATAGAGCATTCAATGTCGTCGGACCAGCTTTCTAAAAACGCTTTTACGAGGGACCAGAGCGGCCTTTTTCAGTGTAATCACACGCAGTTTTACCCTCACGCATCAGATGGGGCGACTTTGCGAAGCTGTAACTCGGCAATGCATTACGCAATGACAGCGGGTTTTCCGGCATTCTCTGCGTTAGTTACCTCCCAATATCATATGTAAAACTCGTTTTGATTGGCTAAGAAATGTCGTCGGAATGAAAGAAAACTTGAAGCCCATCGTTCTGCTATCCAATGGTATTCGTCGTGACCTAGCGCTGGGATTAGCATAACATTCGCGTGACGTCATGTCCACTGACTAGCTTCTAGCTAGCCGCGCAGGATGTGACTGGATTAGCTGTATTTTATGCTCTCTGAACGGAAAAAATATGTTATATATGAAATGAAAATGGCACTTACTATGTTTTTGCCACATGCAGTGTTCATCCTACATGAACTTATACGGTTTTTCCACAGGAAATTGAAGGAATTCGTCGAAGAAGTTAAGTGCAGTGAAGGTGGTCCGTACCATTACTATATAGGGAATACCATTCGGCACGCGCGCAGCGGCATGGTCAATTCAAGTGCATGATTGCAAGCCCAGCAGTGTCCGTAACTTATTTGGGATTTTCGTATGGCTAAAATTCATGTGGTATCTTCTTTCAAGTTGCTTTATTTTCATTGTTGTGTTTTTCACTATGTCCTGTATTTTGCCATAGAGAAAGATGATGTTTCCAATGTGTAGGCCTGTGTAAACACATGTTGTTTATTGGAGTTACGCGTTGCGGTTTACCCATTTGTCACAATGGACTCTTCGGTAGTGGACACATGCATACTTGCTACACATAGGAGTTATGCATAATGCATGATTGGGCATTGACCCATTCAGTACACGCGTGGCGTGTCCCGAAGGTCACATAGACACACAACTGATTTTTTGAGACTTTAGCCATGAAACTTTTCCGTTCCTCCGTACTCTCTTTAAGCTGTTAATGTAAAAAAAATAATAATAACATTTAGTTTAACGCCACAGCAAAACCTTACTGAACTCAACATTAGGCCTGCGTCGTCGTCCCTACATTTCCAAAGTTTCTTCGCACGGGTGACTTACCATATCCTCTGATCAGCGTGGCCACTCATCCAAATTGAAATTCACAAGATTCATCCAATAAAAATCCCAAGAACTCCCAACGCAATGGAGAACAGTGTATGTACAAAATGAATTTATCAGAGCACGCGGTAGCCTAAAATCATGTAGACTTATGATATTTTTACAACCAAAAATCCCACGCTGCCTCTGATTGATCCAAGCACATCTAAGGCCTTGTTTATGTTGCTCCACAACATAAACCAGAGACAGGCTTTACGTCTTGTGAGAACGTTAGTTATTTAAAAAGTAAAATGAGAAAAAAAGGTGATTGTGAAGAAGTGAGTGACGAATCTGATTACCAGTCCACGAATCAGCTGTCAATCGTCCGGTGCATGGGCATCGCCAGGATTTTTTTTTCGGGGGGGGGGGGGGGCAAAGCAAATTTTTCCCCAAAATTCCTTAACTTGTTAATTATATTCTCAATTTATCATTTTTCCGAGCGTGAGCAGGGGAGCATTTGCCCTACCCCCCCCCCTCAAATTAACACCTCTTTTCTTTTCTTTTCGTCCCCCCCCCCCCTCGCGACGCCCATGGTCCGGTGATTTCAACCATTATTCCTTGTTATATAAAGCCCTGGGCACAGTATGCATAACGCAGAGAGAGCGGAGCCTCCTCTTTTGATATTGTTGGATCTCATTTTGCAGCCGGGGTGCCGTAGTGCAAAACCAGAGGGTCTAGGGCGGATGCAACGGTGGGTGGTTAGGGCTAATCACCCCCATTACCCACCAACCCTCCGTCTGACCAATGTTCATAATATTGTACAGGATGGCAATAATCTCGAATTTCGTTAAGTTCTTTGAATAGCGCCATCGCTTACCATAATTTATAGCTCATTAATTAACCAATTTTGTTTTAAAGGTCACCCAAAACCACTCTTCACGTTATAACACTGCAAACAGGCCATTGTGATCGTATCTCTCTCAATTAAAGGTATATAGGACGTTTCTTCTCCCTTTTTTTTTAGGGGGGGGGGGGGGCTTGCCATGCATTTCGTTCGTTCCCAATAATAACACCTGCATTCGAAAACCAGGCTCGAATGTTCAAAACCTAACATGCTGAGGTTTCAGCTCAATGATTACACTTTTCGAGTACACTGTGCGCTTACAATCTTGTGAGCACGAAACATCATCTCCAAAAATGTATTTCCAAAAATCAGTCAATTGAATGATCGGTCTTCGGAAACTCCCTGCATTTCTTTATTTCTTCCAAATGACAGCAAGGCAGACTGAATACTTTCTCGGGGTGTTTAGTTCCAGTGCGATCTTTTATCAAACGTAAGCTTTTGGATGCGAATGATCCTATGCATTTAAAATAAATGTGGACTTTTATGCGATATTAATTTCAATTTACAACGTCCGAAATTACAACGTCCAACAAAAAGTTCAGGGCATTTAGGGGCGATATCGCTAGGCCTACATGGCCGGTTTGTATTTCATGTTGCATGTATACACTATTATCAAAAAAATGCAAACAAAATATAACGGAACGCCGGACGTAGAATGTGTCACCAACATAGATAATAGGTATGGTTTGAACGATACGCCTTTCCACTTGAAAATGATCAAACATCGAAATCTGTTAATGTTTGACAGAGTTATGAGTACTTTTCCAACTGGAGAAGTCAACTTGACAACTGGACCGAGTTTTCAATTTTAGGCATTTGGAGGAAGGGAGCCTATAATTGCCTGTGTGTGGATAATTGCCTGGCATACAAATAAAACATGTGTTTAGCGAGTAAACACAATTCTGAACACTTTCTTGCTAGTATCAGTTTGTAGTATGTGGTGATAGCAAGAAAGTGTCTAGAATTTTGTTTTCTCGCTAAACACATTTTGTTTTAGACCAGGCAAATATCCTCACAGAGGCAATTAGGCTATATACCTTTGTCCCTATATGCCGAAAATTGAAAACTTGGTCACGTGGTCAATTGACATCCCTTGGAAAATTACTCATAACTTTGTCAAAAATTATCAGATTTGGATGTTTGATGTCTCATTTTCAAGTGGAAAGGCGTATCTTTCAAACCATACCTAGTTATTTATGTTGGTTACACATTCTACGTCCGACATTCCGTTGTATTTTGTTTGCTTTTTTTAATACACACGGTATAGGAGGGGCAAGGAGAAAATCATGTTCGGGAACTGTTCAGCAGCCAGGGAGACTTTTTTTTGGTGAGGGGGTGGAGCATGTTGATTGCATGGTAGCGATATCGGCATCATCAATACCTTCGGTGATAATCAATAATTATTAACACCGTAACATAATTCCCCAAACACCAGACTTTGCATACACAATATCATTTTTAAGAATGTCCGTGTGGAGGAAAAGATAGATGAAAAGAAAAAAAAAAGGGGGGGGGGAATCAGTCAGAATGGGCAACTATTTAAAATTTGATTCATTTTATTTTATTACATATTTTAAATTTTTGTTTGGCTTTGCCTTTGTCCTCAAAATGTCTACATGTATCTAAGTGACATGATAATACAAAAAGTTGTCAGATGACCGTTTTCATTTCTATAAAATAAGTTAAGTATAGTTGATAGATAAACACAGAATCCTCATAATTAATAAATATCAGCAAAAGTTCAATGAACGAAGATAAACTCTTCATTATCACAGTAAAAATATATATAAAAAGCCCTGTTTTCGTGTTCTCATTACTGAGCAGTCGTTTGTTTTAACTGTATACAGGTATATTCTCTTTTTTTATGACTTAATGTAATGATAAATTGTGAGAAAAAAATATACCAATTAGTGAAAAGCTACTTATTGGTTATATGGTACATTTTTTTTTAAAATAAAAATATATATTTTTTTTATCTGTATGTACACAATCCAGTTAATATCCGAACAGAAATTCATAAAGCAAATTATGATGACATAATTGACATTTCATTCAAATGGCTTTCTCGGAGTGAAATATTACTACATTGTATGAGTAAATCAGCTCCGGGAACAGTTTTTTTTTAAATATAAAAATATATATTTGATCTGTATGTACACAATCCAGTTAATATCCGAACAAAAATTCATATAGCAAATTATGATGACATAGGCCTAATTGACATTTCATTCAAATGGCTTGCTCGGACTAAATATTACTACACTGTATGAGTAAATCAGCTCCGGATTGTCTGGGATTTATTCCCGACATTCCTGGGAGTCCTTTGGGCGCAACTCATTCGAGGGAAGGGTGTCATCTTTTGTGATTCCAGACAACGCCTCAAATGTTGCCTCATCGCCCTCTGATCGAAGACAGCCAACTCGGGGCTCCCCCCGTAAGCTACCTCAGTAGCGTACGCCAAAGCGAAGAGCCCGCAGTCGCTGGACCCTCGCTGAGGGTGTACCACCGGTAGCTGGACCCGGAGGCCCGCTGCCGATCGCTCCTCCTTCTTCTCCCCACACAGGTTCACGATCTGACGGGAGAGCTTCGGGGTGAGTCCGCCATTCTTGCTATCCAGCAACTTGACTTCCCCGTCTTTCCTGCAGACGGTGACCCAGTGTCCTCCCCCGTTCAACATGACCTGGGCTCCGTCCTTGGTCATGGGCTCGAACTGGAGTATTTCCCCGAGGACGGGCTCCTGAAGACCGGCCAGGGCCGGGAACTGACGGCGGAGCAGCTTCTGGGCCGCGGTGACGTGATCGTCCGTCAGCCACTCCCCGCTGTACAGTATCTCAACGTCTTTAGCGCTAAGGCCAACTTGGATAAACCAGTCATCATCCAGGCTTGGGCCCTGGGTCTCACCATCGCAGTCCTCCTTTGCAGTGACGCAAGGCCTCTTGGGCTCACAGGGCTCCTCATCCAGTGGCAACAGTCTCTTTCTGGCATTGACAGTGGGCTTTTTAACGCTTCTTGCAACCGCCTGCACAAAAAATAATAATGGCCTACATACAGAAGAGCTTTTTTCAGACTTATTTAAAGGGGAGATACAACATTTGCAAACATCAAAAAACGAAATGATCAAATTATCACCAAATATCTTACTGGATTGGTAGGGAATGACAGTCGAAAGCATCCTGTAAAATCGTGGCTCCTGGCGTTCTGACATTTTCAAGAAAACTTGTATTTTTCCAACGCTGGTCGGCCGACCAGCGTTGGAGAAAACTGACTGTTTTCAAAAAGTGCCCCTAATTTTTCATATTTAGTTATTCCGCATTTTCTTTGCAATTGATTACACACCTGTGAATGGGTACAAGCTTTCTAGACGGATTCTCTGACCTTGCAATCCTCCAAAGTCTATAAATTGCTCCGTTTCATCTTCCTTGGGTCAGGGAACCAGACTTCATAAACATGGTTGGTTTTCTTGGATTTTCCAGCATCTCCAAACCCAAAACGCGAAGCAAGTCATTTTAACAATATTTACTATAACATACTAATCCTCCCAATCCATTTATTTCTGAAAATTGCAGCCAAAGCAAATGTTGTACATTCCCTTTAATTGTACTGTACATGTATATGAAACAAAATAGACCGGAAACAAAATGACACTTTCTTTTTTAACAGTTAAAATACAAAGAGGTTACCTTAGCGATGCTGTGACGATAGCGGGCATGTTGGCTCACACCCACAGTCCGCCTCTTTTTGGCAACCGATCCTTGCCTAATGGTCGAAGCAGGCCTCTTCAAACCAGCCGGCGGTGATCCCATCACCGGCTGAATTATGAAAACAAATTACAAGAACAAACATATCTACTATTATAAACAAAAAGGAAAGAATCAAAATGAAAAATTTCCTACATTTTCAAATAGGGCAAAATGTCAAAATAAGGGATTAAGCTCGTCCACCATTTCTTACCGTGGTGGAGTTGTTGGTTGCTCGGAGAATCATCTTAATCCTCCTATTCTCATCCTTGATCTGGATTACCCGGTAATCCCTAGTTGACGATTGCCAACGTTTCCGATAAACCTGAGAAAATAAAAGACATTTCTTCCAGTGAAAACTGTGTTGTTGGAGATTATAGTGTTTACAATAACTGCATATTATGAAATAGACAAGATTATTTTTTAAAGTTTCTTGTCATTTTGATCCCTTTTAAAAATCCATATTACTGAGAATATCGGTTTAATTTGAATAAATAATTATAAAGTCAACTTACCGGCTTGGCATCGTCGTTTTGAGGATTCGAAGTTTTCTTCAAAATCATTTCGAAAATCATCATGAAGTTCACGTGCACGTCTGATTCGCAAGTTATCTCAGTAGAATATGAGGCTTGTTGCCAAGATATTTGTTTAGTTTTCTCTAGTGTGTAGTGCGTACCGATCCATTGTCTAAAAACGTTCCATTTACACATGCGTTGTTCGAAATACAATGTTTCGTTTCCCAGTTATTGTGACGTATTTTGCGTATCCGCGCAAAGTGTTCTTCAAACGCCTACAGAGGATCAGGAAAGCGCAGTGCGCATTTTTGGTAAACGCGCGGTAGCAGGTCGCTTGTTCTGTGACGTATATGTACGATGGGCAAAACGTTTGTGGTGTAATAAAGGAGTCGTGGAACTTCTTTTCCCTTGCCTTTTTAATGGGCTATTTTGCACTCAAAGGAATGTTGGATTAAAAAGCAGGAACGAGGTCCATGCAAATAAAAGACGCGGAAAGGAAGAGGCTGGAATGAGATTTTTAAAAAATTTTTTAATGAAATAGGCCCATGCAGAGAGACGAGGTTTGGCCTTATTAATTACAGAATGTTCTGACGACATTCTGAACTAAAAGTTCTATATAAAGGGATTTTATAGCAGAATGTTCTAATGGATTTTTAAAACAGGCTCAAACCTCCACCACCCGTTTATCTTGGCAAATGCTCTTTGTCAAGGATTATACCGAACCAGCTTCTTGTATCAACTGTCGTCGGAAGCCGTCGGAAGTCATCCGTTTCAACTGAAGGGCGCAGGCTGACCGTTCGAGCAGGAGAGGGGATCTCTCCATGTAAATTATTCTCTCTGTTGTTAGATTAGTCACACATTTGCACAACATTTGCAAATATTAGCGGGGTTGTGCATTTGTTTTCGTTTATGAGCTTGTCGCAAAAGTATACCATTCTCATGACTTATTTCATGGGGGTATGAGTAGGGTGGGGGGGGGGGGGGGGGTTCACCTCCACGGCACACCTCCTTGCCTTAGCCGAAGTGTTCCCACGCCGCCGTAGTCCCGTTTGGAATATTATTTGTAAGCCTCCTTCCCGTGAATGGCGTCACCTAAATGTTCATGTCTGCAGTATTTTTCGCTCATCCCAATCGAACTAAAATCAAGGGCATGGTATGTTCTGAAGGAAACGCAAGCGTCGCAAAGCATTTCGGGCAGGTTTACTGTGTTGTTGCCGTTAACAATGTACTTTTCGTGCACCGGGCGTGCGCACATGGAAGTCCTGACCCGGTCGGGTCAATTAATAATATACAAAATGCCAGTCATACAAAATAATGAGCTCATTATGACGGTATACCACTCTTAAAACAACTTAGTCAAAATATTGACTGGTTTTCCTAGTTATTGGAAATTGACTGGGGAATTTAGTTAAACATGCAAAGTTTCATACTATGAGTATGACTATATAGAAAAGTAGTTGGGTTCGTCTCCAATTTCAGTTATTGGCATAACTATTTCCCCAAAGTCAGTAACACTGACTGGAAAAAGCGAGTCAGATTGACTGATTTTCAGTTGCACCCAGCTGACCCTGAATGGCTAGTCAAAAAAATTTGACTGGTTTCTAGTCAAATCTGACTAATTTTTTTTTTTTTTTAAGAGTGATAGGAACTCAGGTGTCATGATGTCAACCATTCCCATCCCGGATTTTCGAAATCAGGTGGACGGTGATGCAGAACACTATAGCTAGAATTCTAGCCGCCCCCCCCCCCTCCAATCCCCCGGTCTGATTTATGGATCCTCACGCATCCTGTGAGTTGTTCTACTCATTGCATGCACGGCATTATACTTTCTCGAAGTCAGCGGAACTGGCGGCGGTATAAGGGATCTAGGGCGGGGTGGGGTCCGTTCGGGGGTTGCAAGCCCCCGGCCCCCCTCCCCCGTTCAGCACCCGCTAACTAATGTTATGAAACCAGTAAAATGGGGTTTAAAAATATGCTTAAGTTCTTAAAATACAGTCTTCAGTTGCACAGAATGCAGGAGAAATCATCGTCCCAAATTTTCCGGGGGGGGGGGGTGTCCCGGACCCCTATGGCCTTTGGCACGCCTTAACTCAACCCCCACTTTATCACCCCTCCCTCGTTTCCTAAAGGCTAGATCCGCCCCTTGGGTAGGGAAGATGTGAAGAAACATAATGATTTATCACATTTTCAGAAAATAAGGAATCTCCACACACCCACTTGTCAGCTGCTACAAAAGACAGAGGAAAACCACAGGTAGGATGTCCATAGTTTCTGTTAACACAATGGGTCGGACGTAACCCATTCATTTGCGTTACTATAGGTAATCCTATATGAAAGCACTCAGTTACCATTCATATAAGTCAGTGAGTCACAAAGAAGAATCTATAGGATTGACTCTCTGGGACCCAGAAAAACAACGAGTTCAACGTCGGTCAGTGGGAATTGTTACTAATCTCCATTTTAATTTAAACGTTTATTGATAACGTCAAAAAGGTGCATTTTTAAGCTTTTGAACTTAGTTTCTCCACTTTCAGTGCTATTAAAAATACATTTTTGTTGTAATTGTTGGGATGTTCGACAAATATCTCGAAATCTGCATGTAGTTGTTTTCTCATTACGAAAAAGTGAAGTGGGGATGGTTCAATAGCCCATCCCCCGGTCAAAAAGTGGGGGGATATACCCCCATCCCCCAGGATTTACGCCCCTGGTTTCGACTGTTTGTTTTAATATTTAGTAAAAAAAACAAACAAACAAACAAACAAACAAACAAACAAACAAACAAACAAACAAACAAACAAACAAACAAACAAACAAACAAACAAACAAACAAACAAACAAACAAACAAACAAACAAACAAACAAACAAACAAACAAACAAAGATACAGGTATGGTAGATCAGTAAACTGCAACTTAGCTATATCCGCGCGCTAAATACCAGGCAACTATAGCCCGCTGTTCCAATATACTCCAGATGGATTTTTTTCGTCGCCAGTTTAATTTTATTTCACGGTTGATGGAAATTTGTTAGAGAAGCTGCTGGAGAAATTTGGGTCGAGACTGATCGATTCAATGAGACCTTTTATTTTTGTAGTTTACTTATCTTGAATGTGGAACACGTTGTTTGAATGATCCTCAAAGAACTTCAATTGGATTCATCGCATTGTTTCTACATGGCCGGGAAGGAATAGTCGATGGGGTTACACCCAATTCAACTGGTAGATTAGTGCCTTAAAGACACTGGCATCTTACAAGAGGAATAAATTAGGCTATCGGATAATTAACGTAGCGGGCCAGAAGAAAAAAAGTTGACACGACAATGCATTCCTGATCGGGAACAAATCTGCCAAAATAGTCTGGACCCCTGCGGGATCTCCCCAAACTGAAAAAGCTTGTGCATGTTCATCAGAAGATGACGTTTTGCCGATTATTCAAATGTGGTTCCCGACGATGTTTTCCTCACAATACTGCAATTATCAAAACATTTGAATACAAGTAAAGAGAGTTACGTAAGACAAGAGTTGCAGCCAACCGCAGGGTTTGATCTCCGACGAAGTGATTTGCATGTGGGTATAAAACAGGCCCTGTGGCGAATTTCGGGCAGCATTTAGCAACCTGCTCCGAGTGAGGTCTGTCTTCAGACACCGTTGGACAAAAATACCACAAAAGCCCGCGAAAGCAAAGTCAGCTATTGCTTCTTCTTCAGCCGGAAGGAGCACCCGAATCTTCGACGCAAATCACCCGCCCGGCTTGCATCCAAGGAACCCTGAGCTTTTAGTCCGGACTCGGACACTGGACTCGGACACTCCAGATTAGTAGTCATGGCCGATCCAATCATCCAATTTCAGAGAATGAATCCCCAAATGGTGAGATTCTGAGAATGAAGAATATAGCAAGAAAATAAATGTATAGCGAAAGTGTTTAAGTTCAAAACAAGACATTAGTGTGTGATGATGAGGCAAACATTGGCAATTAAAACTATCGTAATTTTCATGTTTTTTTTTTTTAATCGAATAACAATATTTCCCAACACTATTTTATATCCTTCAATTTTCTCCTAAAATGTTGGGCTTTAAATGTGATAAAGAAAAATAGGAAAATCTACTAATCTACAGGCTCGGTCCTTTTTCATGGATCATGATCAATAGAGGGCGCTATATAGTTTGCGCGTAAATTCCTAGCACGTGCTTCGATAACGTTAACGTACACCCCCACCACGTGGGTGTTTATGTGCATGTTTTGGTTAGGGCTTTATAGCTAGCTGGCGCATGCTGCAGTGTACACGTAAGCTCAATACATGTAGTCACAAAACTGCCCGTCGATGATAACGCAATAACACATTGCTCCAAGTTGGCACGTAAACGCGAAGCATTCTCGGTCATCAGTTCTGCATTTTATTATGAACCAATTAAGTGGTTAAAGACTGTCGTTTAATAGCGGAGTGATTGATCAGCTTGCATAAACTGTTCTTGTTTTAACCACAGTCTCAGAACGGCACGACGAGTAACTTGTTTTCCGAGGGGCGTCACACCAGCAACAACCCAGGCCGCCCCGAGAAGAAAGTCCGCTTCGAGGCCGCCCCGGGATCACGAGGGGGTGGAAGCGGCAGCGGGCCATCCGGTAACGGCATCCCCCCGTTCACCAGCGAGCCCACCAGCACATGCACCACCACTTCCCCGTCCCTGATCGGCAGTAACTCGCACCACCAGGGCTCCTCATCCTCCTCGGCGGTGACAAATTTCAACAGCAACTCGGAACTGTTCCGACAGATCAACGCGCTGCTGGAGAACTCTCTAGATCTGCAGAGTAGCATCTGCATGAACCAGCAACAGCAGCAGGGCATCGGGGCATCGGGTATCGGTCGGGGGTTCAGTGGGGGCCCGTTGGCAGGGGTCAATGTCTCTGGTGCGAACCCCCTCCAAGGACTTTTGCCACCTCCAGGTTTGCAGCAGCAACCAGACAGAAACGATCCAGGTCAGTTAAACATTTTTTTATTGTAGTGAGTAGTGATTATATTTCAACATGAAACACAGAATAAATATGGATTGTGTGCTTATTGTGTGTGGAAAGTGTAGGGGCCTATTTTCTTGCACAGATATAATTATATGGTGGCAGTGCATCTTGGGGGCGGAGCCAGTTGAATAATTAGGTGGATACATTTGTGGAAAATTTGCTTTATGGTTGAATGGATACATTTGTATGATTAGGCATGTATTGTACAATAGGCAATGGGTAGGTAAAGGGGAGTAATTTCATTTTATTAAAAGGAAAATATAGTGATGAGAACGGAATGGCGATGGTAAATGGGAAATATTACCCCCGCCCCCTCCCTAAAAGTAAAAGGAAAGTGAACCATATGTCGAAAGCACTTTCTTAATGCACAAACAGAGGCGGATCCAGGGGGTGCGGATGGGGTGCCCCTGCCCCCGGCAGTGACCGAAATGTTCTAAAATAAGGCCACTTTTCTCACTTGAGAGACCCCTTCCGCCCCCTCCCCCAGCACACCCCACCCCCCAAGCAGTAACCGCTCTGGATCCATCCTTGGCAGCAGTAGATCATACATTGAGATTTACCCTTTAGTGTAAGACGAAGTAAAAAAAACAAGTTTCTTGTCCCCGCCCGCTTCCTTTTTGGAGGCCGCCTGGATTTTTTTATTATTTTTTATTTTTGAAAATTTAGTAGAAAAACACCGAAAAAGTCTACAAATTCATCGGAAAATAAATACCAATACCAATACAACTCTAAATGACACTGTAAATATGTTCAGTTCTCTTGTCCAACTTGTGTTTCATCTTTAAAAGTGTCTTTGAACAGTGGAACTTGGTGGAAGCGGGGCTTTTTATTTTTTATTTTATTTTTTTTTAAGATGACCGCCTTCTCAAAATTTCCTGCAATTTTCCTAAAAAGCCCCGCTTCCTCCCTTTTTAAAAAACCCCGGACGAAAAACTATTTTTTTTTTACTCGGCCTAATACATGATCTTGCACTCTGTACTCGGTATGAAATGGATGGGACTCAAACCCATGACCTCTTGCTTACGAGTACAGATGTCTTAACCACCCAACCTCCAACCAAGCTTGCCGGGGTTTGGCGGCCTGAGTGACATGGATTCTGCTAGTATTGGAAAAGTGTGGCCCTTTCAATCAGGCATGCAAATTTTTTTGGATCACCTAATTTCCTCTTTGTTTTCCACTTAATACCTATTTCATTAAAAATTGAAAAACACTGTTTAATGGGTCATATGAATAAAAACTAGCGAATGCTTGGAAGTTTAAGCAAAAAGTATTTACTTTGGAGTAAAAGCATTAAGGTACAGTAAATACTTGAATGCGTATGAATGAAAGTTTTCTTTTACTGTTCAGCATTCACTAGACAGCATGGTAGCAAATGCTTCTTACTGTTGAATTGATTGCACGGGCGAATGGTTGTCAACAATAGTGTCGCTTTTGTGTGTACAAACTTACTTACAAATACAGTTTACACGTAGGGTAACAGTCCAAATCATCCATGTGGTGCATAGGCCTACAGTGCAGTGGTTAATTTGATCCTTAAATCCGGCAAAAAATGCTGAAGAAAATGTTCACCAGTTGCAGAATGCATCATAAAGTATACCTTCATGAAAATTGTAAAGCTCCTACAGTGTCCTGCAGACAGTCACAATTGCATTAAAAATATTTCATACCAAAATATATGCAAAGTGTTTTGTATAATAAAATATTAAGGGGAAAAAACTAAAGGTTTGAAAAGATTTATTACCAAATATAGGCCTACTGGACGATTATTTTATTTCATTCAGTCCCCAGAATGTCGCATAAAGTTTCTCCCTAATCCTTCTGTGCTGCATCGAAATTTCACAGTATGTACACTTCGCAGATCGTGATTAAAACGGAAATTATCGCTTCTTCTAGTACTGAAATTAATAATAAAAAGTATATAAATTTTGCATAAATGAATGTTGTAACACAAGATGAATTGGCTCTAACTTTTTGCCCTTTAAAAGGACAATTGGAACCTGGGCAGTAAAATTACCCATTGACCTAGTCAGGAAGTAGGCTTAGATGAGATAATCATTCCGCTCGGCCTATTTCTTGTAGCTTCCAGAATTCCTGCTAACAACTACCCAATCCCACTCCCCCGGAAAAAAAAGCTTTATCCTTGAGGGGAAAAACTGCTAGGAGACCTATTCGTAGAGTTGAATGCTAGGGCATATTGTATTATCTGTATTTATGATCTGATGTTTATTGTTGCCAGCTAGACCAAAGCTTTTTTCTCTAAAGAAAAAATCGGTTTCATTTGTGTCTACAGGATATTAGCCTCAGGCTGTGCTTTGTATGAAATTGAGCTGATCTTATGAAAATGTTTCTATGTACCGGTACTTTTTGTTGTGGTTTGTGAATATTTTCCAATAACAAGACTGAAACTTTTTTTCAGTACCATTTCAAATGGGAATCGGTTGAACACTCATGACAATGCATCTCTTTTCAAGGAAATAAAAAAATATATACATCTATAACATGAGGGGCCATTTTTGCTTCTACTGTCAGTTATGTAGGGCCTCCTGCAATTGCCCTTTTCAGGCCATTGTTTAAAAGTAGAGTAGATCATTTGCAGCTATCCAAAAAGTAACTGACCAATTATTGTTACAAAGCTTACTTGGTTTAATTAATTAAAGATGGATGGCACTAAACTCCTTGTGAAATTATTCCTTCTGGAATGCTGTCAATTTGAAGAAAAAAAAAAGTAAAAGAAGGTAATTTCCAAAGATGAGTCAAGTTACGCATTTTTTGAGATTTCCGTTTGTAGTTGGCGAATCCGTGAATGGGTGCGCACAAGCGTTGACACGATGCATGTGCGTAGTTGCTGTTTTGCATCGGTTCAGTGCATAACATCGCGTATAGATCTGCAATTGATCTGTATTGATGTTTAAGGGCTTGAGGAAAATGACTTGAATTACTTGAATTTTTATTAACTATTTTCCCCATTCTATACACTGTATTATAAACCTCACATGTAATATATTACGTGATTTTTTTTCCCTTGTATATTGCCCCTGAAGGGATGCAATTGTCAAAAAAGCAATTTTGCTTGTAGTTTTTCAGGGAATGTCCTGCAGATTCCCAATGCAAGAAATGGATTGAGCTTCTAGCAATAATGGGGAAGGAATGTAATGGAACAACCAGTTGTAGATGTGTGACTTGTATGTTTGTTTGTTATTATACAAACAAACCCAGGATAGCCCACAAAAGTTTTTCAACTTACTTCCAGTTCAGGATTTAGAAGAAACTTACATTTTTAGTTGTGGGAGGAAAGCCCCAGCAAGATATTCTAGGGAAACCCATGGAATCAGGCAGGGACTGAAAACCCAATCCAAGTATTGGCCCAGGCGGGATTCGAACCCGGGTCACAGCGGTTGAAGGCGAGGAAAGTACCGCTACGCCAACCTGACTCCCTGTTAATGGTAATTTTTGTCAGCGACAGGAATGGTGTTTTTTTTTTCATTTTAAGCAGCAAAATTGCTCAAAATCACAAGAATTGAGCACAACAACTAACCCATTAAAGATTAAGCTCAGTGGATACCATACATTTTAAGAAAACAGAAGAAACCTACGTGTGCACATTGTTTTTGGTCTCGAGGGGGTTCCGTTGCTAGCACTTTCGATCCGATTCAAAAGTTGCCATTTCATATTTTCAGTTGCACCCTCTTGTGTACAATCCGCAGTCGGGACATGATTCTCATTCGGCCGGTTAGTGAACGTAATGTCAAAGTCCCAGTGGATAGGTGATCTTCGAAGTACTTAATGAATATTGTCATTTAAAAAAAAAAATTAGTGGCTTTCTTCCAAACCCTACTATTTCAGGTGAAATAATTTTTCAGGTTATTTCATACCAGTCTTATCTTCAGTTTGAGCAAGCTTTTTCTCATTAAATCGTTAGGTTCATTTCCGGGTTATTACCAATGTTCCCAGTGCCTATTGAAGGGTCACTGATTTTCCATTTCTGACCGGAAAAAGGAACGGATTTCCCGAATTCACCTTTGGAAAAAAATGGAATTTGGAAGTTTTGATTTGTGCTAAAATTGTTTTTGACAAACTTTATACAGTCCTTTAAAGTGTCTGTACACTACATGATACTTTATGAAGAGGAAGGCAGATTTTCTTGAGTAGATTTTATGGTTGAGTTTGAATTATTTTTCTGAAATAAAATACTGATATTATTTTACAAGAAAACCTGTACTGTTTGGATGTTCTGGCTTGAAATGCCAGAAAATTTAGCATCAGTTTTCAACCTTTCTGTAATAACCTTTATCTTGAGGACTATATGTCAAGTCCGGTTTGATCTGTTTATTTACTACTAGAGAGGCTTTAGCTAGTTACTCGAGTTGGTTAAAACAAAAGCAAAATTTACACTTTCTGCAAGAATTATGCCATTTGTCAAGTTTGGTTCCCTCCTTCAACCAACAACATAAATGAAAACTTTTTGCCTTAACCCTCGCATCAAACCACAACGGCATGTTTTTTAAAAATCCGTCAGGATGGGTACAGTACCCCTAAAGTGACAGTCTTTTACACTGGGTTGGCACACCTCCAGAAACAGTCAGAAGTATGTGTGTGCAGTTGCAGAGTGTTTCTTAGTAGTAAAATTTAAAAACACGTATGTGAACAAGCCTTGTGAGCTTGGAAATAAAAAAAAATAAAAAAATTAAACATCATTGAAGTGATTGGCATATCCCTTTTAGGCAACTGATTCTTCATGAAAATATATTTAAAAATGTTTTCATTATGTACTTATAAATTTATTTATTGATATGGAAATGAAACCAAGGATTCATCAAAATAGCATAATAGCTAGCAAACCTAAAGGAATCTTTACAGAGAAGACAGTGAAGAACTGTACAGTTTTTGAAAAGGTTTAAGGAAAACCCCAAGATATACATTCCAGGGAAAAACCCACGGACTATCCACCTGTTGGCCTGGTGGGATTTTAACCTGGAATAGGAAAGCTTGGTTTGTTGGTGGGTTTGTGAAGTTAACAGTGAACAGTGAAATATGCCAGAGGGATAGAAAGGAAAAGGCTTGAGGAAGTCTAAAAGATAACGTCTCTTGTTTCTTTGCTTTGTCTTTCACTCGACAGGCAATGTGCTAAACTTTCTGCTCCCTCAGACGCCCACCAAGTCCCTGTCGGGATTGCACAACGACATGACCTCCCAAGCTTTCAGCCCGATGGCCCAGATGCCCCCGGCCAACTTGCCTCCCATGTCCCCCGGCGGCGGGTTCGCGCCCCCCTTCCTCGGCAACCCTGTCAAGTCGCCTTTGTCGTCACCCACCTGGAGTGGCTACACGCTCTGCAGCAATCCAAAGGATGCACTCACCCTGTCCAACATTGATAAGTACCTGAGCGGCGCCCTGTACCAGCAGCAGATGCAGCAGCAAATGCAACAGCAGCAGCAGCAGCAGCAGCAGAACCTGTCCATGAGTCCCATCACAAGCTACGTCTCCCCCGAGTTCAACCGCGTCGGTCAGCATCGTAACTTCGGCGGGAGCATCAGCAGTCCTGGGTCTTCGGACTCCTCCAGCATCTGGGAGCACGTGTTCTCCCCCATCGAGCGGCCGGGGGCTCGGGACACCCGTAGCTCCAGCCCGACAGACTCGGATACCAGCGGGATCAGTTCCGCCTCGGCAAGCTCAGGAGAGCCCCTGGCAGAAGGGCTCTCAGAAATGATGGTAAGGACAATTAGATTCAGTACCTCCAAGTTATCACTATGGGCTCTGTGCACCGATAAGGAAGGGAGAGTTGGGGGAGACCACTGGGAGAGACATTCGTACGATTGCTGATAATGCCTGACGCTTGCGTGAAGGCGCTATGAAGGGTGAAAAGTCCTACCGCTTATGATCCATGTGCTTATGAAATGCATATGGACACACCCCAGTCACGGTTCAAGGGCCATGTACAGAAGTCACTTTCAAAACTCGCTTAAATGAAAAATGCAGATCCCCCTCTCTGAAGGAGAAAAATAATCCCAAATTGGCAAAAAAAGTTTAGACGGGGTTCAGGCTCTGGAACTTCCTAATGCCCGTTTGAAGACAAGTTTGTTGTTGTTCATATTTTCTCAAGTACGTAGTTCCATTTATAAAAGAGCTGAATCCAAAATGAAGGCCTCAACACTTGAAATTCAGAAAAGTTTATTTTAGCTGCCACCTCCCCCCCCCCCCTTCATGGTCTACTGCCTGAATCTACAGAGTTGTAATGACTTGAGTCAATGACTCGACTCGAGTCGGCCTCGAGTCACAATTTTTGGCGACTTGACTCGGGTCCAAACGGGTAACTGACTTGACTCCACTTGAGTCATTGCGATGGCATTGACTTGAGTCAATGACTCGACTCAAGTTCCTCATCAGAAGACTCGTCACAACTCGACTCCACTCGAAGGCTAATAATTACACTTGAGTCCCAAAACTGTGTGAAATATAATAGTTGCGGTGACTTACGGTACAAAGTTATGTTCGCGTATTTCGCACGAATTGACTCGAGCAAAGATTTGACTCAACTCAACTCGACTCGACTCGACCACACACTGTGACTCAACTCGACTCGACCTTCTTGACCTGATGACTCGACTTGACTTGAGTCACTTCCTTAAAATGACTCGACTCTACTCAAGTTTCGAAATTCAGTGAATCGTTACAACTCTGTGAGACTGGCTTAAGTCGTGAAGGTGAGAAATTGTATAAAAGTGTTTTGAGGAATTTTGTGAAGGAAACAATTGACTTGTGGACAATTTATGAAACATGAACATCTCCCCTCCCCCCCTCCCCCCCCCCCCCCAAAAAAGTGTAGAGAGTATTTCACGTCTTCACAATTTTGCATTTGTCTGATGTAAGGGCATTGGTACCTCCCGTTCCTTTAGTGTGCCCCTCCTGTACATATCAAGAAAAAATGTTTAAGTATGTAAACCTTCATCCCTTCAAGTGCTATCGATGAAGCCTTTAATACGCGGATAAATGGCAGACTAGCAGATACGATGGGTCTGATCGTATCACTTGCAACGATTTCAGAACTTGACATTCTGTCACGTGCGCTCGGTCTGGCGCATGCTGTATGTTCTTCACTGTCCTCCCAGCCAATTTTGGGAGCCATATATATTAGATAATCTGAAATTGATCTGTAACATATCCAGCACGCTCACCTACATTGTTGCACATTGCTAGTTGTGTGCTGCTCATATCTGTGGACTCGTGGCAATGATTACATACGGCTATCGCTAGCTGTCCCTTGGGCCCCTGCACCATCCCCTCTTCATGTACATGTGCAGCCGCATACATCTACAAGATTTGCACACGCTGTTCAAATGTGTTTTTATAATCACGACATCATCAAAACTCTGTGAATTTTTTTTTCCCCTGTCCATATGCAATTCGCAATTCCAGACGATCAAAATTCTCCGGCCGGTACAAGATAAAAATGGATGATTGAAATTAATTTCAATTCGTCTTTGTCAGTTTATTATTAATTTTAATAATCGATGTCATGAAAGTGAAACGCGGAAAATGTTAAGTACATTGTTTCAGATGCCCAGAGATTGAGGCATAAATATTCATCAAAATTTCGGCCATTATTCTGCTGATAAAGCAACACGTGTTGCGGTTTGATGAATCATGGCCCTGCATGCCCTTTGCACATTAACTAAGCCTAACCACAAACTTACATGTATTAGCGGCCAATATTCAAGCTGTGTTTCAATTATTAACCAGACTAGCTGTTGCAAAACTCCATTGAATTCAGGAGGAGAAGTCAGTTTCAAAAATAGACCACACTTCACCCTTTTTTTTTTTTACCAGTACCGGTATCTGGCAAAAGAATTGAACATTTCATCAGTTGATTATTTAACCGGTTGCCCAGATGGAAAAGAAATTAGGCACATGAAATCAATATCCCTAGAGTTGTTTCATTCAGCATTTATTTTGTGAGACTATACATTATTGGATTACCTTTGACATGCATGTACGTCATTGAATAAAAGAAAAAAAAACACCCCACAATTTAAAAAATAGGCGCTTTTGTATCTGAAATATACCTGAAAAAAATCTGTATCTTGCCCGGTAGGAAATGAAATCAGATTTATTTTAGCGAGATAAAAAAACCAAACATATTTTTGATTGTCATCTGTGCAATGCTTTACATGTATAACATTTAAAAATATGTTTATATATCTGGGGGGAAAAACTGTGTGTCCATCCGTTCATGCCATTTAGAGCAATGTAAATCAGATGAATGACATACTGTAGCCAGATATAAAAAAAAATACAGTGAAAAGAAATCAGATATTTTGAATGTCATCCAGCCAAATGCATCAGAACACGGCCCTTTTGGCCAGCCCAGACACATTAACAACATACTTGGGACGTCTGCCCATGTATATGGACACCCTAGTGCTCCTGGGCACATTCTAGAGGGGACATGAGCGTAGTATGCATGACGCGACCGGCGATAGACAGACTGTGAGCACCCCTGTGGATCACACCACGCACTCCAATTATATTCAGTTGGCTCAATGAAACAAACCAATAATACCTATATTTTTGTCCTACAATATCAAGCCATGTCTAACTAAGGAGAAGTAAAAACAAAATATTTTTTTAAAGATAAATTATAAATTGTTTGTTTATGTTAGGTTGAGTAAAAAAAAAAATAAGGAGTTTCTCGTCCGGCCTTTAAAAAAAAAAAGAGGCGGGCGCTTTTTTCCCCCCACAAGATGGTGGATTTTTTAAGATGGCGGGTGGATTCTTCATTTTCTCCACTATTTTGCTGATCAATACAAAATTTTGTCCAAAGGAGCCCGCCCCTTTCTACATAACAAATAGAAAGACAATTGAAGATATGTGCAAAATATATTGCCAAAAAATATGAAAAGAAGGGAAAAAGGAAGTGGGCGGGGACGAGAAATTGTTTTATTTTGTTACGTGGCCAAGTTACTGATTGCTTTGTTTTTAAATTTTAAAGAAAAGAGTTGATTAATTTTCAATTGAAGCAACATTTTTTTGTACGGAAAATTGCATAGGTCATCACTCTCTGCTGATTATTTTGCACATGTATCTAAATATTGCTTATATTTTGCCGCCGGTACAATGCAATATAGATTTATGTATCGTAGTTTTAAACATTTTACTCTGACATTTATCATTCCAATAATAATATCAACCTAAACCAATATATTGGGTAATTTGCATTTGAACAAAATTATAACAAAATTAGGTTTAAAATTAGGTTTTTTTACATTCAAAATGCATTGTAGGTTTGCTAACTGAATATCTATGTACAGTCTGCTGGGATGGCACATTTCATAGTTTAGTCCAGGATAATATTGCCATAAAAATTGTCCGTACACAGTCTAAAAGCAAATATGACCCTTTGCACTTAATGTAAAGTAAAAGTCTTGTAAAATTCTCTCCAAATTTATAGTTGAACTTTGGTGATCAAAAAGCAGTCCTTTACAGTGTAGCATCAAAGTTTAAAATGGTCTTTATCATTTATACCTCTCTGACTGAGTTGAACCAAACTCCCTTAAAAATCTACCCAAATGTATACATGTCTAGATGAGTTGATTTAAACAAAGAGATAACATTTCTTCTTCCAGCACTGCTAAAAATGGTTTTCTTAAAAAAAAAGTCTTATTACTAGAAAATTGTGCTTGTCTCACTCCTTTGAAAATTCATGTGGGGAGTAAGACAAGAAAATATTTCATGAAACAACTTTTAGTTTAGCAGCGAGTGATTAAAATTGAAACAGATGAGATTAAATATATGTGCAGATGTCGAGCACAAAACTAGTTCTTGGGAAAAAAAAAAATTGCCATTAATTTTAATTAATGTAGTTATTTTTGTATTGAATGACACAGCAACGATAACAAACATTCTCTACATGAAGATACATGTATTGGAATGTAACACTGTACGTTCGCTATATGAGCTTAGCGCAATTCACCAGTGTGCTATCCACTTACATGGTATACAAGTACGTCTGACATTCTACACACATCATTCCTTTACCTGGCAAATAATCTTTGTAGAATTTACCCCTCGAAATATGTCATTTGCTGTGCGCTGAATGCGAAACGTAATACTTTTGTTCGTATTATAATCAGGACTGTACCGTATGGCCCTGTGGTACGATTTATCATTGTATTCGGAGATGTGTAATAGGCAATCAATTTTAAATTGTCACCAAATTTTAAATGCACCCATAAAATAAAACGAACCTGGGGACCCATTTGCAGCAGACATGCAGAGAATGTAAATCTTCGTTGAATTCAGCCGTTTTCAGGAGCTCGGCTTTCGTTCCTTCTACCCTTCCTGTCACTGGCTTAGTTTTTTTGGCCAGATCACACTTTATGCGAATGCAAACATGAAGTGAATTGGAGATGTGTGAAGAGGTATTTTTTCTCGCTGTGGATTTTCAGATAAGATAAATCTTCATTTCTGGTTTTAAACTGAACTCAGACCATGTGCAAGCACAAATATTCTGAGTCTGCATTCAGCTAATCATTCAGCAGCCAATCAATGCACTGTGTATACAGAAAACTGTCGGGGCCTGAACATAATCTGCAAGGAAAACAAATTATTTTTTGCTAGAAATAAACAAACAGTGTTTTGAACAGTGTTACAACTAGTGTTCCTTCTAGCTTTTTACAACATGGATTATATTTCTGTGGATTTCCTATAAAATGGAAATCTCATTCGAAGCATGTATCTGTTCTTATCAATAATAGAAGATTTTCTCCTAAATTGATATAGTGTCAAGTATAGTGGTAATTTCCTACAACGAGCAGAGCCTGTATGAAGATGGTATCACATTAACAATTGAAGACTTTCCCAAGCGAAGTATGTTTTTCTTTTCTCCTATAGAATTCATTTGTGTTGATTCACTAATTTTATATGAGCAGAGCCTTTCTGATCAATGATTGAAAACTTTCTCAAGCAAGTCATGGATTTTCTCCCATGCAATTAATTTGTGTTCGTATGGGAATGTCATATATATTTGAAGGTATTAATTCCTGGGTGTCAAAAGAGAGCAGTGGTATTTTTAAATGTATTGTATTGTCACTGACGAAGTGACGGATCTGCCCACACAGCATGCAGCAAAACCAAATTTTAAGAAAACTGTGTTTCAAGTCATAGGGCTTGTCCCGAGTATACCGAATATATCGAGTATTCGAATATTCGAATAATCCAATCATCAACCGAATATTCAATCATCAACCGAATATTCGATCATCAACCGAATATTCGATCATCAACCGAATATTCGATCATCAACCGAATATTCGATCATCAACCGAATATTCGATCATCAACCGAATATTCGATCATCAACCGAATATTCGATCATCAACCGAATATTCGATCATCAACCGAATATTCGATCATCAACCGAATATTCGATCATCAACCGAATATTCGATCATCAACCGAATATTCGATCATCAACCGAATATTCGATCATCAACCGAATATTCGAATAGCTTTTTGCCGGTTTGAGTATATTCGAAAAAAAAAAAACACACCCAAAATCCCAAAACAGACAAACTACGCACGTGCACACATGATGAATGTTATTTTAATCGTAAAGTTGCGGCTTTTCATTGTCAGATGCCACTTTTATTGTCGACCTTGGTTCGTTCTTTTATAAGAATATTGGCACTTATAAAATACCTACTGTAAAACACTCCAACCGTCCATATTATCGCTGCACACAAATTTTAACCGGCGTACTTGCAAATTTTGACCGGCGTGGCACGCAGTTGCAGCTGGCGTGTGTAAAACTTGATCAGAGAGTTTTGAAGAATCGAATATTCGGTGAAATGCAGAACTTTCCGAGTAATCGAATACTAAATTATTCGAAAATGGACAGCTCTATCAAGTTGGTCGCGATTCGTCACTTCTCCAAAACAGAAAACTGAGTTGATGCAGATTGCCACTTTGATCAATTAGCGTATTAATTTAATTAACAAATGGTGTTATTTTTTTTTATTTTGAAATGTAGCACATTATGTAGAAGATCATCATGAAGTGTAAGACTATCCAAAAAGCCAAAATTGCTCAAACTACCAGTTTTGGAGGAAGTCACTTTGTCAAAACAGCGATGATTATTATGTTGTTTTTATCGCCTTTTTACCAGGGTAACTTAAGCATGGGCCTGCCCTACCACGCTCCGCCCCACCGCACCTCCCTCCAGCCATTCCAGAAAGAGCCGATGGACTACCAGGCCCAGCTGTACCCGGACGTTGGCTCCGGCCATGGGTACAACATGGCGTCCTCCCAGCAGCCAATGGGGGAGCAGCGCCAGCCCGGCTTGGACACCTTGTTCAACACGCTTGCCAGCGATCCATACAGCATTGAGAGACTAGCCCGGCTGAACCGCCAGGCAGCAGGTAATGTAACGCAGCCACTTGCTTTGCTCATTCTTTTGATTTTAACTTTTCTGAAATAAAGATTATTAAGCATTATTAGGTTTATTACGGACCAAAACTGGAGATGTCTGGCCATTTAAAAACATTCTAAAAAGGTTCTGGATGCCTTGAAATTTTGTATACTAGTGCAGTGCCCGTCTAAATTTAAAATGTGCATGTTCGGGAAGCGCAAATTGCTTTGCTGCTGGTATAGGTTGCATACTTGCAGATGTTTGAGAATTGTTCGTGCAAACAACGCACGCGATTCAATTGATGGTGTTGTTTTCACAGGTTGAACGCACACTTATGTCAAAGTTTGGGCCAAGTTTGAAGTTCGACTGCCTACAATGGTCGCTCAGTCGACTGCAAAAATAATGTGCCCGTGTACATACGAAAACATGGTACCGGTATGCAGTGCTATTCACCCATACTGGACAATGTATCGCCCTACAATGCACGTGCGCGTGCCCGTCCTTTTTGCATTGTTTGCGTCATATTGAACACGCGCGCTTTAGCTTAAACACGACGTAAACAATTGAAAAGAACGGCAGTGCGTGGTGTTATGTTCTAAGCTGCCACGTTTGCCTCCGAAAATACTGTTTTTTGCAGCTTTTTTGAGAACCGCTCATCCAAACCACTTCAAACTTGGCACTGCACATTCTGTGGCCCCGAGCAATACACCCCCCGTTTTTCAACTTCATATGGTGCCCGGTTCTGGAGATAATCGACGGACAGACAGACAGAGATTCCTGGAATTATAGTAAGATGTACATTGCCTTGTACATTTTGTACAAGTTATTATTTGTAAAAGAATTCAACAAAATAAACTAAAATATACAATTATTAACTCCTTGGTTCATTAACAATAAATTGGATAGTACCCTCGAAAATTTGAAATTTGAGAGAGCCCTTCTGCCCCCCCCCCCTCCCTGACACAGCCTCAGCCAGGCCCCCCCCCAGCACTAACCTCTCTGGATCCGCCCTAGTTTTGCATCCTTAGACTTTTATAGTGGGCTTGGCTGAAAGTGAAATGTTTTTAGTTTCTGTAAATAGACCTGAGATATGGTGCACAATGTTCACCATGTTACATTCTGGGGATGAGGGGGCGACGGTCCACATTATGTGTGTTCGTCATGAGAATTGTTGGAATTATGGGTGTGCATTTATGGGTAGTACGGGAGTCGGGTACCCGACAAAAAAAAACAACCCACGGGTACCTGTTCAAGAAACCCAGCCCCTAAAATTCAAATCTCGAAAATGGCTGTTCAGATTGTTCATAAAATGTCCGCATAATGAAAATAGGCACCTTTTACCCAGGCGGTTGTACATGTATTTAGGGTTGTCTAAGGGTTAGGTTCCCAACTGATATTTACCGAGTGCCAACAGAAAACCACTTAGATTAAGTACCGGTAGACCGTTTATTGTGCTTATCAAACAGGTTGTTTTTAAAGGGAATGTACATCATTGGTTTTTGCTGTAATTTTCAGAAATGAACTATATGAGGGATTAGTTCAATAGATCAAATATTGTTACACTGACATGTTTGAAGTTTTGTGTTAGAAAATGCTGGAAAAACCAAGAAAAACAAAAATGTTCAAGAAGTCTGGTTCCCTGACTCCACTAAAGATGAAATGGATCAATTTATAGATGCCGGAATATTGTAAGGTATGGGAACCAGTCTAGCTGGCCTGCACCCGTTCATGAACATGTAACCAATAGCAAACAAAATTTGGACTGAAAAAAAATGGTAAATTTGGAGCAGCAGTTGAAAAATAGTTAGGTTTTTCCAACGGTGGTCGGCCGACCACCGTTGGAAGTGTATACAAAAATACCATTCTCTTGAAAATGACTTCACACCAGGTGCTATAATTTTACAGGATGCTTTAGACTGTCATTTACCAACATCCTAGTAAGGTATTTCGTAGAAACTTGGTGGTTTTTTTTTTGATCTTTGCAAATGTTGTATTTTCCCTGTTAATGTTTAAGAGAGATGGAAAAATGTTAGGTGTATTGTACCCTAGCAAAAGCAAGAAAACATAAAAATATTAAGACAAATGGGATTTTAGACAGCAAAAATGCAGTGTACCGTAACTTGGTCAAACTGGAATTTGTCAATTCTGTTAAAAGCAACTTAACTAATTTTACCCTCCTTTTACCCAGGAATCATCCAAAATGGCACACAAGTTTCTTGGCAGTTTTGTTGAGTCCATTGTGTGTAGGATTGATTAACCCATTAGTTCCTGTACTACCCATGACCATCCTGCCTGTTACCCCCCGTAGCGCCCGAAACCGCCCAAGAACTCTGTGGTTTTTATGGATTCGTCAGTGAATAAACACAATGTAATACAATGTATTACATTATACAAATATAACATGGTTTGAGGGTGCATAGTTGATATTACTATACCTCATAAATATTCATCAGGCAACCGCGGCATTTCATTGGTCCATTCCAGCAACTCGACCGTGTGAAAGTTTTTTTCTATCAGCCCGCGTCTTTGTACGCGCGCGTGACGCGCAAAAACCCGGGAGGTACTATCACACACCTGGGTCGCAGCACTAGCAGTTAGATTTGTTCCAGTACTGTGTTATCTCTTTATCAACGACGCATGTGCTTTACGTGGTACCGTGGAGAACACCAGTGAGGACAGTTGCATGTGCCAGTCTATTACGGCGTACATCAAAATGTGGTGGTGTTCGCTTTGCGATTTTAACTGAGGAGGAAGTGGGTGAAATTTTACACAATGAAAATAAATGCAGTGATTTGCGTGAATGTTTAAGTTATTAAATGACACAAAATTAACTTTCTATTCTGTCTGCGGTCTCCTTAAATTAAAATAATGTTTCACTTTATCAAAACACTGCACAATCAAAAACATGGTGGAATGGAAAAACCCCAGCTGCCTGATGAATATTTATGAGGTATAGTCAAACAAATGCAACATGTTTTTGTCGGGAAATAGTGAAAACAAATGACCCCTCGGTGTTGGATGATTGGGACTATCTCCTTCGCCTCGGGAGATAGTCCCAATCATCCAACAACTCGGGGTCATTACTCTTCACTTTTCCCCGACAAACCATGTTGTAAATTTGTATATTAACTCCCTGAGATATTTGAAGTTGACAAAATTTGCCCCCGAACTAGTTTGTCAACTTCCAGTACAGAGGGGAGCTAATATCCACTATCCACCCGAAATAAACCATGTTATAATATGGGCTGGGCTACTGATATTTTTGACAAAGTTTGGTTGAAATCGGTCAAAAGGTAGGAGCAATAGACAATGTCAACATTCGTTACTAACTAACTAACGGAGAGACATGATGATTTGTTGAACTGCTATCCCGTACCTAAAGATATGTCTCGGCAACAAATGGGACTATAAAAATATTCAAGCCTTCTTCTGCAGTTTGTGCACAGACCGTTGGCCTGTAATATTTGTTGTTAGTCATAATGTCAACCACATGTGAATTTTTCTCTTAGATTTTTAAATGCCACCACATTTTTTTTTTACTTTTTACAGACAGCTGTTTTGTCAGATGTCTGTGTTTATTCAGAAGTGGGAGGAATATTGCAGTATTTTGTTGATTGAATATTAATATTTAAAATGGATTTGCACAATTTATGCCAGCTGTAACATCCAAATAGAACTGTTTTACATTTTGCCTGCAACTTTGTGCTAGCGTTGTTTTATTGGCCCAGGTGAAAACAAAATTATTGTTCTTGTTTGTAGTTTTATTAAGTTTATCATTGAATCAGATCAAGCATTTTCAAGGTATCCACCATTGAAGAATAATCTGACTTCTAGACAAGCATTGAATTCAGTTATTTGGTTATTAATCCTAACTCTCTGGGCATTTTTGCTAGGATGCAACCTCAATCCTGCAAATCCTCCTATATGTTTCTTGAATGTGGTCCTTGGAGGGGTGACCACTGCCTCAATCCTGCAAAATCCTCCAGCAATCACTGTCAATATTGGGGCAGAGCCAGTGACATCCTAGAGCAGTGCGGAGGATTTTAAGTACATGTATAATGTAGGCCTAAATTTATGCACGGCTGAGCATAAACAAGGCAAGGTCCAGCCTAAGACATTGACACAGTGCATCCTCCAAAATCAGCCACACATTTTTGCCATGTAGCCTCAATCCTGCAAAATCCTCCATTTTGCAAAGAGGATTTTGGAGATTTGGGAAGGTCCGGGTTAAACAGTCATTTTTTTTTCTTGCACATGTAGAAATAAATGTGTACCAAAGTACAAATTAACAAAAACTTATGGGGTAAAAGTCAAATGTTGCAGTCATTCACATCTGCAAATGTAATTTGTTGCTAAACTCACCATGATGAGTTTCACAAGTTTGCAATGTGTAATTCTCTTCAGTCAGCATTTTATTTTCTGATGTTGTAAAGAGTTCAATATTGATGCTTACTGTCATTGGCAGTGCAGAATTGATGGTTTTTCTACCCCCTAAATAATTTCAAACCGTATGTTTTAATAAGTGTGTGCACATGTCATAAAGTCTTTCTGCATATATCAGCTTCCTGCATGCGCATATATCTTCGAGAGGATTTGTGATGGAAATACGTTATTCATTACTTTCATTGAAAGTAAGATCATTTGCCATATTGTACATTTGTTACAACAAAATTACTCAAAATCTTAAGAAGGGTGCATATAACAACTAACTTATATACATTTTGAGAAAACAAAAAACGTATGCATGCACAATTTGTGGGGTCTCGTACCTGGATTATGTTGCAGACACACGCCAAAAAGTGTGTCCATTGGCATATTTTCTTAAACACCTTCCATGATCTCAAAATGATACCATTTAAGGCAGGATAATTTCACATGGCATTTGGTACTATCTTTACTTTGAGCAACTATATTCTTTTTCCTACGTGACTTTGAGAAACCTTTTCTCATTCTAAAAAACCAGAAAAATAAAATTTACTTTACTTTTATGGAACAACTGTCTTCACACTG